AAATTGATTGTAGATGCGTTCTACTCCTGGGAAGACTACAGATCCTGGCTCCTGCTAAAACCTGTTCTATCCTGGAATTATTTCATCCAACCTGATTTATTCCTTTCAACCTGCTACTTTCCAGACCTGCTTACTACCCATAAACTGTGATTGCTAACTGTACTATACATTACTGGACTTGAATTTAATATTAAATTGATACTGAATTTATGCTAAACTACTTAACTAACGTGGAAATTACAAACATCCTGGATATTTACAATTATCCCAAAGGGCCCTGATACATCTACCCAAAATCTGCTGTACAACCGCCAAACCAAAGAGGTTGATCAACTAAATGTCTACTTACCTGTATTACTTTATCCTTTTATATTTCTGTTTAGTTCTGTCTATTGTATTTTGTTTTACCTGTAACCTATTACCTTTTGTTATATGGTAGATTTTCTTCTCTATACCTACCTGTAAAATGTTATCTTGTTACTGAATAACCAGCCTGGGGCATATTGCCTAAACCTGATATTTCTGTAATCTCCTGCACCTTGACCTATAATTTTGTTTATAGGTTCTCATTCTTACTACTGCCTATATATCTTATAGGTTCTTCTTCTACCTATTAAGCTGACTAGGGCTTATTGCATGTGTGTGTGTGTGTGTGTGTGTTTCATTTATAGGTTCTTCTTTCTCCCTTTTTGTCTTTATTATATTACTTCCTTAAACTCCTGCTACTCATATTGTTTTTTTTCAAGACAAATCATGTCTAAGATCACAAATAAAGACCCGAGGTTAACCCCAGTTTCAGTCTCATATCTGACCTGATCAGAAGCATGACAGATCCACATTTTCGTGTCGAAGAAGGTTGGCACAAGCATGCTCATGCTTATTAGAGAGCTAGCCATTGGAAGTGGTACGACCATGCACAGAGAAGAACAGGTATAGTCCCAAATGCGGAAAGATAATTTCGTAGTGGGAAGGTAGTTCATTCCAGTATAAGGAACTCAAACTGCCTGCACAGTGTAATTCAATGTCAAACCACTGAAGGATGGCTGTAGTGGAAAGAGAGGTCACCACCATGGACAACAGTGGAGCTCTATAGTATTGTTTGATATTTGGTAGGCTCTGGCCTCTGTCTTTTGAGTTTCACTGTAATATTGATGGGGCTATTATTTTTCTTTTGCCCCAAATAAACCAGACTAGTATTCTCTGAAGCCAGTTTAAAACATTTTTGGGAACTAAATCAAAGTGTGTGGAGAAGATATTGAAATTTAGGAAGTAATGTCATATTTATTGCCACTAGTCTCATAAGTCAAGATAGGGACGTGCCCTCCCACTTGTTTAATGTGTCTGATTTCTTGTAGTAGCCATTCGTTGTTTTGTATTGTAGAGGTGTAAGAAATGTTTGGTTAGTTTAAAAATTTAATGTAAAATACAGTTTAAGAAACAGCACACTCATTAAAAGACACTTTTACATTTTATAAGGCCATTTAATATCCCCTATCTCTGCAAATATGTGGATTTAGTTCCGCCATATAGCCATTTTGTGTTAGGGCCCACCACATGAGTATATAAATCAAAGCACTATCACTTAAATTGTTTACTTTGGACACTGCATTTTTTTGAATTGCATTTATCACATCAATTTAGCATTTTATATATATTCACAATGCTCTTACAACCAATTTTTGAAGTACTTTTGATTATATAGCACTATTTGCTTTGTCTCCTATCTTGGAATTGGTGTAGGACCCACCAATATTGCGATACTGGGAAGGAGATGTGGACAGTGGCGAAACTACCGTGGTGTCACATCCTGCTCTTTTCTGCGGAGATGTCTGGCCTTGGCTTCTGGTATCCAGTACGCTGCATCAGGGTTCTAGTATGTGGCTGCTCAAATGCTGGTGCTCAACACCAGGGGGCATGCGGTTACCCTGCACCCGACCCTGCTAAGCCACCTCCACACTGTGACTCCTACTCTGAACATCAGGCATTCTGGGTCCCGGGCACTGGACCGCCACCCTGACACGCGGTTGCAGGTATCACAGCTGCGACCAGGCCCGTCACCCCTGTGAGCGCGGTGCCCAGCCGGCCATGTGTTGCGGCCACGGCTCGCACGGTAGTACCACCAGGGCCACACATTAAGGAGCCCATTGGATGACCCCATTATTTGCAACGCTTTAACAGTGCAACCGGGCCCTCTGTGATGTCAGACTGAGCTGGGAGGAAGTGACTGCCCTTGTCACTCCTCCCAGCTTACACAGAGGGAGGAGGGAGTCAGAGTGGGAACTCTGACTCCCATCAGCTTGAGCCACTGGCCCAAAGGGAAGTCACCCTCCTGCGCCTAAAAGGTAGGAAACAGAGTGAGTAAACCATTGTGCAAGTGTGATTGTGTGTCTTAATGTATGTCTGTGTGTCACTGTTTGTATCTGTATGAGTGTCATTCTGTGTATAGTTTGTGTAACCGCTTGTGTCTGGATATCTGTTTGTGCCACTGTTTGTATCTATAGGAGTGTAATTCTGTGTATATATGTGTCTGTGTGTATGTATCTGCATGTATGTCAGTGTCTGTTTTGTATGAATGAGACAGACTGAGGGGCGTGAGTGTGAGACATGGAGGGGCGGGTGGCAGGGCAATTTTCGCACTTGGCCCCCGTGGTTTCTAGTTGCGCCTTTGGTGGTGGGATTAGCACAATATAGCCATATGGTGGAACTGAATCACCATATTTGTTTGCTGAAACTGGAGATTTTTAAGTAGCCTTATGAAATTTAAAAATTTATTTTTATGTTCGCACTGTTCCTTAACTGAATTGTACATTACATTTTTAAACTAACCAAACAATGGTCGGACCAAGATATTTGTCCGATGTTACAATGTTCCACTTGATTTAAGGCTTGACCAGTCGATGTGAGAATATGAGTTGTGTGCTGAAGAAAAACCCTATATGTTTAACTCTCCGGACATCATATAAATGGTGTGTGAGTGTAGGAGTTTCGCTAAAGCCGTACTGTCGCTTGAGGGGTCGAAATGTAGAGCGGTAATGTTGTGTCTAGGGATGGGTCGAATACATGGTTAAAGTCTCTACATATGATAGTGATACCCTGTTGTATGGTAGTTTATTTTTAGATTTAGAGTTTGTTTCTGTCCAAAATGCAATTCATCCAAATTTGTGTTGATTGGGAGATCGGTCGAATTCCCAAATGCTGAACCGAAATGTGCCTGAATCATGATCCAAATGAGCCGTGGTCGCACATGTTCGTTTTGATTGGTGACTCTGAATTCCACCCATGGCACCAATAAGAGATTATTGGTGGGGGAAAAAAAGATGATTGATGGCAAGGGGACAGTCACTAATTGTTGCTTTTATTCACATATCAAGGAAGCAGTGGGCAATATATGGAAAAAGTAGGTATAGTGTAAATATATATATATAATTTTATTTTTTTTGGAGAATTGGTTCACTGGAACCACATTTTGTTACCATGAATAAGTCTACTAATTGGTCAGAATTTAGGTTTTTCCTTATTTGAGAATAGGTCAGTTAACTTGATTCCTAGATAACTATTAGCATGTCCCTTACTTGACTACTCGGTGTGGGTTATACAGAACACCTGAAATAAAGTCTTGTGTAAAATATTTATATCTTTAATCTAAAATGGACGGACCACCATAAAATAAACTAGGCTATATTTAATACAGCCCTATCATTCATTTTTTTAAATTTAATTTTGGGAGGATTCCTTTCCTTATGCTCTCTGTATGTGAACTATATTTCCTCCATTGCCACTTGCTTTAATATGTATTTCTCTTTTCTCTTTTGTGCCAGACGGCATCACATTTCTGCACAAATTATCAAAGTTGCAAAAATGGCTTAGTTGGATAATATTTCCAGCTTGGCTGTTTGGATATAGGTTTCAAATAGAAGTGGGAAATGCAAGCCAGGCTCCACGTAATTAACACTCGCACTGCCAAGGTTTTTTAAAATTAATTTTTAACGAATTGCCCGCAGATTGGCTTTAATAAATATGAGAACTGCCATTGTGATTGGAATTCAGTCATTTTGTTTCTGGTCTATGCCCATTCAGACAAAATCTGGTGTTTATTATAGGTATGAGTACTATTGGTAGCTTCCAATTGATATAGGTGCAATGCCTCCACCATTTTACAGGGAAGAAAATGTCATGTTGGAAAGGACTGCTTTTACCGCAAAACTTCACTGGCAGAAAGACCTATCTCCATTTATGTGAGCTGTTCCAGTGGATACAATTAAAGTATTGTAACTGAGGAAATTATTCACAGGATCAAAAATGGTCTTATTACGGGACTAGTGCTTGCCTTACATTCATTAACACATAAGGCAGTGAGTCACAAACTGCCTGCTCATTTTAGAATCCTGGCTGATCTCTGGAAAACCAAATTATTGCTTCTTTAGGACTTTTGTGAGTTGTGATAAAAAGAAAAAAATATTTTAAAAAAATGTATCCTCTACAACCAATTTGCTAATAAATGCCCAGATAATAAAGTGTCAAATATGTGAAAAGTTTAGTCCTTCTAAGACTGGACTGCGTTACACAATTTGCCATGTGTTCTGTTGACAGTTTTAATGTGTATTGTAATTTAAAATGTGCAATAAATAAAACAAAATATGATCAAGTAATACCTTTGCCATGTGCAACTGTAAGTTAACGTCTTTAATATTTTATTATTTATATAGCACTCTCAGCTTGTGGCAGGCAGTGTTTTTATTTAGATTATTTGATAATTAGTGCAGTTACAATGTGTCCTGGAGGTTCTGTTTTGAAAGGAACACAAGATCCATTTTACTCAGGTTTATTTTTTTTTGGCCTGGTAATTTTAAATCCAGATTAACAATCTACAGACCTGTACCCTCTCCTAACTAAGCAGAACACCAGTGCAGGTCTTCAAAAAAAAGCACTGTAATTGTGGAGAATCTCTTAGTTAATTCTTGCTTGAAATGTTTATCAGATAAAATCTACCAAATTTGAAGGGGAACTTTAAAAACAATGTTATGAGATTGCTGTAGAATTTAAATAATTGGCAAAAATGACGAACATTGAACATTTGTCAGATTACATTTTTGCTCAGTTAGATGAAAATAAAAGATTTATTGTCTTTAACTGATTTATAGAAAGACCATTTTAGTGACAATGACAGCAATAGTTGATTACCACAAATATTGATTATTTCTAGGTATTAGGAGGCCATCACCACAAATTGCACCCAGGTAATAACAAGCCCCCTGCACGCTATACTTCTATACAACAAAAGGAACTGATTTAGGTAATTCTTGCCTCAATACTGTCCACAACAGTCATATCTACACAAGATGTAAATCAAAGTTACAGGTTAAATAAACAAGGGACCCCAATCCTAAAAATTATTTATAAATCACAGATAATTGTAATTGAGAACATACATATAATTGCTGACCGTAGTTCCAAGTTCATTCAACTTGCCAGGTGCTGGCTGGATATAGTGGTAATTGTAATGCACAGAAACTGCCAGAATCCATTGACAAGGGTGGATAAAAACCAACAAATTGTTTAAAAAAAAAAAAAAAAGAAAACTGAAATTTCTTTTAATAAAATGATTTTGGAGGAAAATTTATAAAATATATATATATATAGTTTTCTATTTAAGGTACATCACAGTGATACAAATTATTCAGCATGAATATGGATTAGTCATATAGCATAAGGCTGTTTATTCATACAATATTTTATACCTCCCAACATTGGGAGGCATGAGATCGGTGCCAATGAGCTAAGGAGGGCATTGCCACTTATGTCACTGGTTATGCCCATAATGGATGGGCTTGTCCACTCACTGTAGGGGCCACCATCATAAAAGACCCTGCATAATGATATGCTTGCACTGACGTTCCTGAGGACAGCTCTTCGGTGATCCTGGATATGGAACACCAGGTAACAAAATCAGGACTATGAAAAAAGAACTCTGTAATCAGGACTGTTGGGGGTGTCGGCTTGATATTTTCACTTTTGGTAAATGAATTCCATTAATCCAAGTGAATTCAATTTATGTCTGCAGAGATAAGATACACTTTTGCACAGCAAAAATGTTATAAAACAAACATACAAAGTTCAGAAAAAGATCTTCATCCCATTGTTATTCTGCAAATCTACGTACACACAATGTATACCTTTTCATTTAAGTTGTTCTCATGACACAAGTAAATAACCAATTAAACTGGATATAGTTTATCCCATAATTATCATATATATTTGTAATGATGTGGCATCAATTCTGATATACCGGGTAACTGTTAAACGAATCTGAAAAGTTATTTAACATACATCTGAAATGTTCATCTGGTTACAAATATTAACTTTTATAACAATTGGCAAGAATTGGTGTTTACATTTAAAAATCATGATGTACCGTATATACTCGAGTATAAGCCGACCCGAATATAAGCCGAGGCCCCTACTTTTACCCCAAAAAACTGGGAAAACTTATTGACTCGAGTATAAGACTAGGGTGGGAAATGCAGCAGCTACTGGTAAATTTCTAAATAAAATTAGATCCTAAAAAAATTATATTAATTGAATATTTATTTACAGTGTGTGTATATGATGAATGCAGTGTGTGTGTATGAGTGCGCAGTGTGTGTATAAATGCAGTGTGTATATGAGTGCGCAGTGTGTGTATGAATGCAGTGTGTGTGTGTATGAGTGCAGTGTGTGTGTATGAGTGCAGTGTATGTGTGTATGAATGCAGTATGTGTGTATGAGTGCAGTGTGTGTATGAGTGCAGTGTGTGTATGAATGCAGTGTGTGTGTATGAATGCAGTGTATGTGTGTATGAGTGCAGTGTGTGTATGAGTGCAGTGTGTGTATGAGTGCAGTGTGTGTGTATGAATGCAGTGTATGTGTGTATGAATGCAGTGTGTGTGTATGAGTGCAGTGTGTGTAATGCAGTGTGTGTGTGTGTGTGATGCAGTGTGTGTTTGTGTTGCAGAGCCTTGGTGGGGGGTGGGCATTTTTATAAAAAAAAAATTATTATTATTTACATTTTTTTTGTTATATTATTATTTTTTTAATAATTTTTTTATTATTTTTTTTTTAATTATTATTTATGTATTATTATTTTATTTAGTTTTTAGTTCATTTTTTTGTTATATTATTATTTTGTTTATTATTATTATTTTTTTTATTATTTTTATTTATATATTATTAATGTATTTATTTTGTTGTCCCCCCTCCCTGCTTGATACATGGCAGGGAGGGGGGCTCTCCTTCCCTGGTGGTCCAGTGGCATTGGCAGTTCAGTGGGGGGAGGAAGGGGGCTGGCAGAGCTGTTACTTACCTCTCCTGCAGCTCCTGTCAGCTCTCTCCTCCTCCGCGCCGGTCCGTGCAGCTCTTCTCTCAGCTCCCAGTGTAAGTCTCGCGAGAGCCGCACTATGACCCCGCGGCTCTCGCGAGACTTACACTGGGAGCTGACCGAGGTGCTGACCGGACCGGCGCGGAGGAGGAGGGAGCTGGCAGGAGCTGCAGGAGAGGTAAGTAACAGCTCTGCCAGCCCCCAGTCTGTATTATGGCAATGTAAATTGCCATAATACAGACAGTGACTCGAGTATAAGCCGAGTTGGGGTTTTTCAGCACAAAAAATGTGCTGAAAAACTCGGCTTATACTCGAGTATATACGGTAAATCAAATCTTACTGACTTGTGACTTAAATCAAATATAAAATCAAAACAAAGTCAAACAATTTCAAATCCGATAAAGTAGCATTATCTGCTTTTTGTGTTTTGAAATTAGTTGGTTTGTTTTGATTTTATTGTTTTATAATTTTATGCTTTTAACATAATTGGGTGTCTGAGGAAGTCCAACAGTTGAACGAATCGCGGAGGACCAACCATTTTATGTTTATATAAATAAATAGGAATTTATTTTGGAAACTTGAGTCCTGCTTGCCAATATTGTCATGGAGATTCCAGCCGGGAGCTAAGGGGACATGAAAAATCCCTTCAAGTATCTAAATGGAGGCACCCAGAGGCGAAATACGCACCGTGCATTCTGAGTGAATTTTCCTGAGCGCAGTGTCACTTCCGTATCCACTATATTATGCTATGGGCATGTCTTATTTTTTTTGTAGACTTACAGCTGCATCCTCTAAATACTGTTTTGTTTGATTTAAACCAGGTCTACCTTGCTGCTGCCCTTTAATGCACAGTGCACAAAGGGAAAAATCTATATGGGAGTTTTGTTATAAAATGAAATTATTATTGAAAAGACCAAAAAGCATGTGCCATCTTAACATTGGTTTGTTCCATTTTATCAGAAGAGATTGTTACATTCCAGTACATGTTTCCAAGGCAAAGTTAACACTTCCTAATACAACTGCTGGTGCATTGGATGGTATTCTTTCGCAGGGCCGGGTTACCAACCCTAAAACCTGGTCATAACAAGGCAGACACATTCCACTGCATGACATTGTAAAGACAGAACCAACCCAATTAATTACCTATCCAGAGCAGAGAGCCTCAGCCAGAAACCCTTACTGATCTTTAATGAGCAGGGATCAAATCAATGTATGTTTTATGATAATAATAATCAGTATTCAGGTGGCAACTCATTAGAAAGTCATTGCAGTGGAAAATCCATAAGCATTATTATAAATACAAAAATATGAGGCTGATTTTGTTTCTACTTTTGTTAATAAACATTTATGAAAAGGCTTTCTTATTGTGTGTTTGTAACAGGAAAAAAAAAAGATTGGTGTACACAAAAAATAAATAACACCAATAATGTTAAAAACAAAACAAATGTCAGATGTTTTTGATTAAATACATTGCCTGCACTAACGTATAATTTCACTTTTTTTGTTTGGCACACCTCACACACTGTTACTTTTTCCTGGAGGTAATCAATTTATACAACAGTTCAGAAAATAGTGGTTGTAACTTAAGTGCTCTGGAGAAAGATTTTATACACTGTGCATGTGTTTACTCGAGATCACAGTACACAGCTTTATGAAATACAGTTCCCACAAAAAGCTTCCCCTCGTAGACGGCGGCCACGGAAGACGCCTGTATCACTGAGCCGTTGTTCACATATACTTGGGTCACTATAGGATTGTCAGAATGAATGTTCTGCACACGGACAACCTACAATGGGAAAACATTTAAACATTAGTTAGACACCAAGTTCACCTATTGTAATGGAATATCTGAGAAAGGTGTTTTATCCAGCTTTTGAAGATCTGAAGCCTGTCTAGTACAGATGTGTAATAATTCCCTAGAATATTATTAATCTTTTTTTAGGATTTAAGCATCGCCCAATGAATATACATTAACAGGTTTCTTCAAACCTGTATTAAAGCTGGGAAATAGGTTCTTGATGTGAATGGGCTGAAAACAAGCCTCTTACACGTAATGATAACACATTAAAACTACCTGCAGGATTCAAAGAATTTTCTTCAGTGGAAAGAGAGAAAAAAAAACCAACAAAAATATTTCAGATAAACACCATGCCTTATCACACTGAACAGATACTCCATGAAGGTACGAAATTAAAGGAGGAGAGAATGGAGATGGTAACTGTGAGTCTCCATATATCCTGACACGAGAGACATGTAACTCTGAATATACCCACAAAAATGAGCATTTTGCCATGATATCACCATTAAACTCAGTCTAGCACCTCTACATTGGGACATTAGACACAAAATGCCAAAAAACGTGAAATATTATTGTCAGAGTATTTATATCGGCAGACATTTTGTGCTATGATAGAAATGAAAAGTGTATATTCTGAGTCACTCTGAACAGACCAGACTCCATTTTGTTATTTTCAAATTAACAAAGAGACACAAAATTTCTATCCTTTCTGTAAAACTAACCACTTTCCCAGAGCTAAAGGAATGCATAGTATATACAAACCAAGTGATAAGGAGAACGGGGGTTGGACAGACCGTCTAAAATGTTAATGGAATAGATGCATATCTAAACACAGACATTTGTGATAGAGGAGATTAAATAATAAAATGTTACTTTCTATATGTACAAGATCCCATTGTAAGTTACGGGTCAAAACTCAGAATTTGCCAGACACATAGTCTGGACAAAACTTAAAGAAACCCTTTGAAGTGAAAGGAAACGTAAGTTATGGCCACTATAAAGATAGGCCAAAATGATGTCAAAATAGCCACCAAGAAAAGTTAACTCTTTCCTGGATAGGTATGTTTAGTGGGACAAGGCTGCCCTCTATAGACCAAATACCTAAATTGCGATCCCTAGGTAAGCACACCTCTAGTGCTTCTATTGGGTTATCAACTGATGACGTACATAGAGTCTGGCCCTTTAAAAGTTAGGACAAAGGGAAGACAGGAGGGTTGAGAAAAGGAAGGTAGATGAGGAATGCAAGGGTATGCAAAGAAAGCAAAGAAGTGAGCAGTCGGAAGCAATGCAGAGAGGCCTATGACAGATATCCACTCTAGGACACTCAGAAATTCCTACACACCTCCATGCAGAGAGACATCCAAACAAGTTCCTGAGACTACCTACCAATCTGAGGAAATATCTACTCAACTGGTAATTATACTGGTTCCAGTTAATTAATTAAAATTAATTAAAATGTACTAATAGCATGATATATGACTGGATAAATCACGGTCAGATTTGCATATTAAGAAATCTTAGTTAACTAAAGAATATATAGTTATAAACATTCCATTCTGCAGGTGGAATTAAGAATAATTATATATTAATGTGATGGTATCACGTGTTAGCTTACCGCTGTTTTTATCCAGGTGTATTGACTTGCTCTAATATAAGATAAGATATATTTTTAGGCGAATTCAATTCTGCTTATAAAATATGGTAGATTCTCTTATTGGATGGTTCCAGGAAATGACTAATGAACTGGTTTAAATGTTATTTTATTTAAAATTACATAAGAATAGATCTTAATTACCTAGGAGGTCTAGTCAGCATTGAAAGGGTTATTCTAACTGTTAGCCAGGGTTTTATGGCCCTTCGCTGTGAAAAGCTTCGCTTTCTCTCTGTGTAAGGATACCTCATAAATCGTGTAAGCCTTGACAGAAAATGCTGTTTAGCCATTGAAATGTGTATACCCATTCCATTGTATTGCATATCATTTTATACTGGATATTCATTGATTATTGTCACGCATATTACATATTATTATTATTAATTAATTTGTTATTATAAAATAAAATCTATTTTTATAACAAAATTGTGATTTTATTTATATGAAATACTTTTCACTTATGATAACGATCTTTGGATCTGAGAATTGAATTAGTGGGCAATTCTCACTGTTTACTATTATTATCCCATAAATATCCCCACATTATGTAAGTAAAGGTTGGAATTTCGTTGATTTTATATGGCCAAACATTATGGTGAGCATTACACATGAGTTTGTAGGACATGTCATTCCAAAACCATGGTTATTAATATGGAGCTATCCACCTGCCTTTTCGGCTATAACAGTTGCCACTCTTTTGGTAATGTTTTCCCACAAAATTTTGGATTGTGTCTGTGGTTATTTTAGCCATTCAGCAAGAAAAAAACATTTGTGATTAGGTCTGGTTCATGATAGGCATTCCAATTCATTCTAAAAGTGTTCAGTGAGACAGAGGTCAGGGCTCTTTGCAGGTCAGTCCAGTTCTTCCAGACCAAACTCATTAAACCATGTCTTCATGGACCTCGCTTTGTGCACAGTGGCACAGACATACCCCCTGTTGCCACCAAATTTTCTAAAATGTATCCTTTAGCATTTAAATAAACCTTCACTGGTAAAACCCTAAAACACATCCCCAGACCATTGTCTCTGCTACACCAACAACAGATGGAGAGCTTTACGCACTACATACTACACTCAGCATCGCTAATTTGGGAGCATGCATGGTCTACACTTTATTGCTAGGTTGTCGTTGCTTCTCCATGGTTCCACATCAAAATAAATTCTCTTATAGTTGACCAGGGCAGATCTAGTAGGGTAGAAATTTCACAAACTGATGTATTAGCATGTAGCATGTTTACAGTCATTGATCTCTTCAGTATGACCCCTGTAAAGTTTGTCTACGTTGATTTCATGGCTATATGCTGGATTATATGGAGCTGTTAGCAATGGATAAAGCTGGAACACCTGATTCAATGACTTGGTGTGTCCATATATTTTTGCCATATAGTGTGGATAGACAGAAAGATATTGATTTGTGGGACCTGCCCGTTGCCCATGTTTCTCCTTCTCTGGAGTCCTTTTCTAGATGCTTAGAAATTCTGGTATTGAGTGTATAACAGCATGAGATTAAAAATAACTTTAATAAATCTTTACACTACAGTAAATAAGTTAAAACTGTGTATCATCCACGTACCAAACACAGATTAAGATAATTGTAGTATTGCAGTTTCAGTTCAAGGAAGAATGCTAAACAACAATTTAGTGTGTGAATGTTAAAAAGGTTCATCGAGCATGCTCTATAACAGAACAAAAAAATCCACATTACATTGTATACACTAACCTCAGATCCAGGTAGATTATCAGAATTATAAAATGCTATTTTTCTGGCATTCGGAATCCCCGCTGTCCAAATATCCCCTGTATTTGGGTCTACAACGAGGTTGTCCAAAAGTATATCTAGCTGCACAACCTAACATAAAGATAAAGTAAAATAAAAGATTATTAAAAACAAGTCTACAGCCCTTCCGAATAAAACCGCTAATTTAATTAAATCCGGCATTATAGCTAAAAGCTCATAGACATGATTCTTCTAGAAAGTCAGAAAACTTCCAAAACAATTACTGAAAGTGATGGCCATTAAAATGGTAAGTGGCATAGTGAACATATATAAAATCACATGTCTGTGTGTGCATATTGTATTTTTCAGAATAGAGGACGTATGTATGTTTTTACCCCAATGTTTGGGGTTAAATATTGCTTGTGTCCTGTATTACCAGTCTGTGTATATACAGTTAGTTCGGGAAATATTTGGACACGATTTTCATAATTTGGGCTCTGTATGCCACCATAATGGATTTGAAATGAAACAACTGGGATCCAAGTGCAGACTTTCAGTTTTAATTCGAGGTGATGAACAAAAATATCATGAAATGTTTAGGAATAGCAACCATTTTCATACACAGTTCCCTTATTTCAGGGGCTCAAATGTAATTGGACAAATTAACACAATCATAATTTTTTTTTACTTTTTAATACTGTGTCGAAAATACTTTGCAGGCAATGACAGCTTGAGGTCTGGAACACATGGACATCAACAAATGCTGGGTTTCCTCCTTTGTGATACTTTGCCAGGCCTTTACTGTAGCTGACTTCAGTTGTTGTTTGTTCGTGGGTCTTTCAGCCTTAAAGGCAAACTATAGTGCCAGGAGAACAAACTTGTTTTCCTGGCACTCTAGCTTCCCCCTTTGTCAAGGCCCACCAGGTTAATAAGCCCTTTTGTCACTCACCTGGGTCCAGTGTCGATGGGCCACGCTAGCAATAGGATTTCCCCATAAGAAAACATTATTTAATCCTTTCCTATGGGGATTCCGGTGACGCTGGAAGTCCTCATTCATAGCGTGAGGACGTCCAGCGTTGTTTAGCTGACCAAAAGTCGCCTTCATGCCCAGAAGTCCCTCTAGTGGATGTCTGGTAGACAGTCACCAGAGGAGGAGTTAACCCTAGCAGGTAATTATTGCAGTTTATAAAAATTGCAATAATTACATGCTCAGGGTTAAGGGTGCTGGGAGTTTGCACCCAGACCACTTCAATGAGCTGAAGTGGTCTGGGTCTCTACAGTGTCCCTTTAAGTTTTGTCTTCTGCAAATGAAATGCAAGCTCGATTTGGTTGAGATCAGGTGATTGACTCGGCCACAGCAGATTATTCCACTTCTCTGCCTTAAACTCCTGGGTTGCTTTCGCGGTATGTTTTGAGTCATTGTCCATCTGTAAAGTGAAGCGCCATCCAATCAACTTCGCTTAATTTGGCTGAATCTGAGCAGACAATATATTCCTATACACTTCAGAATGAATCTGGCTGCTTATGTCACATCATCAATAGGCACTAGTGACCCAGTTCCATTGGAAGCCACGCATGCCCATGCCACCACAATGCCTCTACTGTGTTATACAGATAATGTGGTATGCTTCGGATCCAAGCCTTCTCCATACTTTTTTCTTCCCATCATTCTGCTAAAGGTTTATGTTAGTTTCATCTGTCCAAAGAATCCTGTTCCAGTACTGGGCTGGTTTTTTTTTTAGATATTTTTGGCAAAATGTAATCTGGCCTTTCTATTCTTGAGGCTTATGAATGGTTTGCACCTTTGGTGAACCCTTTGTATTTGCTCTCAAGAAGTCTTCTCTTTGTGGTAGATTTGGATAATGATATACCTACCTATTGGAGCGTGTTCTTTACTTGGCTGGATGTTGTGAAGGTTACCATGGAAAGGATCCTACGATCATTTTTTTTCCATGGACGTCTAGGACTTTTTGTGTTGCAGAATCAGCCCACAACTCCCAACATCCTCAGCCTGCAGACTGGACACAAAGAAAGCCACCCTCCTGGAGGATGGCTATACAAGTGTATATTTTGACCTGTATGTCTCTCAGTGTGTGTGTGTGTATCTGTGTATCTGTGCGTCTGTCAGCATGTGTATCTGTATGTTTGTCAGTATATGTGTGTATCTTTATGTCAGTTTGTGTGTATCTGTATGTATGTCAGTGTGTATCTGTATGTCTGTCAGTATGTGTATCTTTATGCCTGTTAGTGTGTATATGTATGTATGTCTGTCAGTATGTATCTGTATGGCTGTCAGGGTGTGTTGTGTATCTCTATGTCTGTCTGTTTGCCTGCCTGTATGTGTATCTGTATGTCTGTGTGTATCTGTATGTCTGTCAATGTGTGTGTTAGGCGCTAAAAACATATCTGCGGCCCGAAGAAGCTTAGCATATTTAATTTTGGCCACGATCTATTGCCAAGTTGTGCAGGTCTAAAAAAAATGTATCACTCAGAGCTGTCCTATGGACTCTCAAATTAAAGCTGAAAGACTGCACTCTAAGCCCATATTCATTATTTTACTGTAACTTGAATTTATTTGAGTAAACAGCCAAAATAAAATATTTTTGGAACCTAACTGGACCACTGGTGATTGTACTGCCCCCACTCCCTTGCCCAATGTACGAAGCAGGGAGGGGGGATAACCTTAAAGAAAACAAATAACTATAATAAATATATGTAAAACCACTCCCCTCTCACACCACTCCCCAAAACACAGCTCCAATCTCACTCCACATGTTCACAGTCACATGAATACCTTAAACACACTTCAGAGCCCCACAGACACACAAGCTTTAGTTTACTGTAATTATTGTACTGGTTGTTATATTTATTTTTCTTCTAAATTCCTAGTTAAAATGTATGGGTGTTTTATACTCAGGTGCGTCTTGTGTTCTGAAAAACACTTGCACACACAATCAAATATATACCGAGTGGGAGAGATCAAAAAGTTTTCTCTTCACATGGTGACGACCCCAAGCATGGTCTGGAGCGGGGGAGAGGCCCCCCACCGCACACGACCCCTCTCCTCCGGGCGACCACCACCACAATGCCTAGAAAGAGCCACGACCCTGCCGACCGGAGAAAGAAGACCTACGGACCAAGGGCAAGGGCCCCCCTCACAACCCGGAGCTACAGGGCCTCAGAAATGCCGTGCTGCGACATGCTGACAACAAATCTACCATGCTTGCAGCTCAGCCTGACCGCCCGCATGCCGGACTTTACTTTACGTTACTTTGTCATTCTTAACCAGGCACACTACACTCAGGCCACACATCTGTTCCCCCAAACGCACCCAGCTTGGTCTTAAGCATGATTAGTTAGGCATGCATAATAAACTACTGCCCTGCCACATTTATACAATACACCTAAGTGGTACTACTCTCACGTATATCATGTCTTAAAGCATCCAGCATACTGTTATGTGTTACTCGGTTCTCCTCTACTAAGCACCTATGAGAGTAAAACTCATGACATACAAGCAAAGAAAATTACCTTTTTTGATTACTTGTAGTTAATGGCATTATACTGTGTACTTAAAGAAAAAGCGCAGCTTAACCCTGACAAGCTATTTACCTACATGATTAAGCTTGCTGTTATTTCATTGAATTGTTGTTTTTCTAAGACTTAAACATGCACCCCACGCTCTCTCTCGTGCCTCTTACAAGTCTAGCAGACTTCACTGTTTCCTAGTTAACTACCTGCTCCTTGTCTTGCTGGATATATCTAACCCAACGCTGAGCTTAAATTTTATACCTTTACCTGTCTAGACACTGATATTAAGCTAGTATATCTCCGGTGGGACGACCTCCTAGTCACGTTAGCCTAGCATGATGTTACCGTAAAACTGTACAGAGAGCTTGTTTCTTTTCTCATGTTTTCTTAACTATATCACAAAAATGTGCAACGTCGTATGCCATGCCACTGTTTCTCTATGTTTACTGAACTGTCTGCATCAGCTGTTGTGGCAATGCAAGGCTCCCTGTTTATCTATGCATGACCAAAATAAAGAATTAAAAAAAAAAAAAAAATAAATAAATTGACATTAAAAAGTTTACTCTTCTAAAAGATGGTGCGAAAATAAAAATGGGAGGAATCACCGATGGAATATGACTGCGTGTTCGAGTGATTTCCATTAAATTTGCCTCACTTTTCAGATCAGATCACTTTGATTAATCTCCGGAAATACTCAAAGGTCAGGAATTACCAAAAGCAAGGAACCACCTTAGATAATAAGGATATTTTATAATTAACTAATATATAATAATTTCTCCCAAAATACTAAGTATACAAGTATATACCTAAAAAATAGGTGGAAACTCTCAAATGCTGCTGACACAGTCATTATAGCACATGCTGAAGCCTACTTCTATTACATTAAATATGTTTCTTTTCAAATAATTTTATTAAAGTTTTAAAAAAATTTGTATAACAAGTGATAATAATACAAACATTGTATTAGGGGTAGGAAAGGAAGGGTAACTTGGAAATGGGAGGGGGTGTCCATCCATCATTGAAATAAACATAATGTATATGGCAAAAAAAAATTGTACATCAGTGCACTTTAACAATAAATATATCAAAGACCATAAACTATTTTGATTTTTTCTTCCCATTTATCCCAATTATATTTTAGTATTGGGAAACCATGCATATTGGCTCTATGTGATAATTCATGTGCCTTGTTTTCTAGAATCAAATTAAAAACTCTGAGAGATGGCACATTTTGGGACTTCCAATGTCTAGGTAAACAGGATGTAGCAGCGATCAGAATGTGGCCTATGATTATTTTATCTGAACTATTAACGGACTCCGGGAGTTTTTTAAATAAGGCTAGTTCCGAAGTTAAGATGCTAATGGTTCTGTTCACTTTAATAATTAGATCATGAATCATTTTCCAATAATTAATTAACTTGGGGCAGAACCACCAGATATGGGCCATATTGCCTACTCCCCCACAGTCTCTCCAACACCGGTCAGAATACATATTGTTCATGTTATGCAATCTAGACGGAGCCAGGTACCAGCGATATAAGATTTTATAATGATTTTCAAAATGGTCGGTGCAATACGAAATACCTTTTAAACCTTTAAAAAAAACAAACCATTCTTCTAAATCGTACTGGGCACCCAACTCCGTCTCCCATGACAGCATATGTTTTAATTTAATTAAGGGCTTGGCATTATGAGATAAATAGCATAAGGATATCATACCTTTACTAGCGGGCTGTATAAAAAAACTTTCTCTAAAGGAGATAACTCAAGTGATTTATAGTTTTTATCTGTTTCAGGTACCTGGTATAGTTCTTTCAATTTGTCAATGATTAGCATACATTCCAGTTCACATACATTTGACAACCCATACTTAAGCTTCAATTTTTCCAAAGAAAGAATAGCATTGCCATAAAAAAAATTGTCCAGATTAGTTATAGAGCAATCCTTCAACAATTCTATTTTTAAGGATGGTATATAATCTTTCAATAACTCAATAGGCATTGCTCTATATAAACTGGGAGACTGGTCATTTTTAAAAACAATGTCCCAGGCCTTGAGCGTAGTCTTGGTAGATAAAAATAATTTTGTAATTCCAGGTCTTTTCTTAGAATTTAACCAAGGTAATTCTGATAATCTAACCGGTAAAATTTTCGATTCTTCTATTTCCATCCATCTGGGTTTATCATCCTGGTTGTTAAAGCTCACAACCACTGCAGCGTTAGTGGCGAAATAATATTTGCGGATCTCGGGGACACCGATACCGCCATTCGATTTATGGTGCTGCCGGGAAGTGAGCTGAACTCGGGCAGGCTTGTTCCCCCAGATAAATTTCAACATTGTCGAGTGAACTTTATTAAAAAATGATAATGGAATGGAGAGAGGAATGGTCCTAAAAAAATATAAAATTTGGGGGAGTATCGTCATTTTAATAGATACGACCCTCCCCAGCCATGAGAGCTCCTCCCGCCCCATCTCTCCATCTCTTTTTGCAAGTCTGACCATGCTTTCCTCAAGTTGTGATTGTGCATATTGACCAAATTTTTGCATAAATTAATGCCAAGATATTCCATATATTCAGTTCTCAAATCAAATAAATATGATTTCTTAAGGGCAATGGTTTCCAAATTGTTTAAATGAAACGGGAGGGCTTGAGTTTTGGACTCATTTAATTTGTAGTACGATATCTCACCAAATTGAGTTAAAATATCCTTGAGGTGTCTCAAAGATTCCTTTGGGTTTTTGACAGCTAGGATTATATCGTCTGCAAACAGGCCAGTTTTGTGAACGGATTCTTTAATAGCAATTCCTACAATTTGTGGGGTCGTTCTAATCAGTTCTATCGCTAAGACAAACAAAATTGGAGATAAAGGGCACCCCTGTCTCGTCCCGTTGGTTAGAGAGAAAGTTTTGGATGTGAAGCCAGAAGCTGAGACATGGGCGGAGGGTGCACAATATAACGCCTTAATTGCTGTGATAAAGGATGATGGTATGTTGAACCTGTCTAATGTTCTCCATAAATATCCCCAATGTATCCTGTCAAACACCTTCTCTGCGTCTAGAGATAGAAGCAAAGAAGGCGTTTTGGTCATATTGATGTGCTGAATCAAGTTTATGAATCTTCTAGTTCCGTCTGGCACGTGTCTATTCTTTACAAAACCCACTTGATCCTTATTAATTAGCAATGGGATTAGTTTGGTTAATCTATTAGCGAGAACTTTAGAATAAATCTTTGAATCATTATTAATCAGAGAAATGGGCCTAAAGTTAGGGCATCTATCGGGAGTTTTTCCTGGCTTTGGCAAAGTGACTATTCGTGCGCACAAGGACTCCTCTGGCATCTTTCCCCCGGACTTATAGGAATTGAACATTTTAGTCATATGGGGAATTAAAATTTCTGGAAAAGTTTTATAATTTAAAATAGTGAATCCGTCGGGACAAGGGGCTTTTCCAGATGGCATAAGTTTGATTGCCTCAGCTATCTCTACTGCTGATATTTCACATTCTAAGCTTTCTAAATGTCCTGGAGACAGCCGAGGCAATGACACTCTGTCTAATAATTTATCAATTATTGTTGTAGAAGGCTGGGGGAGGTCCAAATTACATTCTAAGTTATAAAGTTTACTATAATACTCTGCAAACATATCACTAATTTTAGTTGGATGAAACACTTTTCGCCCCTGATCATCAAGTAAATATGCTATTTTTGATTGGGCATTCACATGCCGGAGTTTGGATGCAAAAAGAGTTGAGGCCCTGTTGCCTTTTAAGTAAAATGTTTTCCTGAGACGTCTCACCATGAGAGATGTACGATCTAAATTAATTTTGTTAATTTTAGCCTTAATTTCTCCTATCATTGCTGATAGAGAGGACGATGGACCAAATTTATTAGCCTGGTTCAAATTGTACAATTCTTTTTCCAATGTTCTTAAATTATTGCTATTAATTCTCTTCAGATGAGACGCTCTAGAAATAAAATGACCTCTTAACACAGCCTTATGCGTATTCCAAGTCACCTCGCCAGGAACCTCGGGCGAGGCATTCTCCGAAAAATAATCACACAAAGCTTTCTCCGTCAGTGACCTGTTCACAACACCATTTAACAAACAATCGCCTAATTTCCAGGTTCTGTTAGGGGCTGATGAAACAATTTCGTCAATATGCATTATGATTGGAGCATGGTCGGACCAGTTGATGTTTAAGATATCAGATTTCAAGATGTGTGGGATTAAAGCACCCTGGACCATAAACCGGTCCAGCCTGGAATACATATTTTTAGAGACAGAATAATACGTAAAATCTCTTTCATTTTCATACATCAGTCTCCAAGGGTCGTATAAGCCACATTCAATCATGTATCTGGAGCATTTATACGCTAATCGGTCACTGTCCCCTCTAAGCTGTTGATCACGTTCTTCCCTAGCGTTATCCAATTCTCCATCCATAACAAAATTTGTGTCACCACACATTACCAAGCTGCCTCTCACATTCTCATTCACTAAGTCCATCAATTTCCTAAAAAACTGCAACTGACCGGTGTTTGGAAAATACATGTTCACAATAGTATATTCAATAGTATTGAGTGATCCTATCCATATTAAATACCTCCCGTCATCATCCGTTATTACTTTGTTTGTCAAACATGCTACATTCCTGTGAAAGAAAATTGATGTACCTCTAGACTTGGATTTATAAGTGCAATGGTATTGGACTGGGAAAAGCTTTGCCATAATTTTATGGTCTTTATCATCTTTAAAATGCGTTTCCTGTACACAGATTACATCTGATTTGTTGGATTTTGCTACTTTGAATAATAATCGTCTCTTGTGGGCGGTGTTCAGGCCTCTCACATTAAATGACATATATTTTAAAACCATGGTTTATGGAACAGTAATATCTGGTAAAGGGTAAAAGAACATTCAATTTTGTGAGAGTCCAAGCAACCGCCTTCCAAGAGAGAAACATGCAAGTCCAAAAAACTGTCAAAGCAAACTCAAGCTGTGTACTTGTGTGTACAGGAATAGTGAATAAACAGATTTTTACAAGTTGCTGATGCCACGTAGTATGCATTTTTGTATGAAGCATTGCAGTGTTTCGTGGTCTAGAAACGTTTCTACCGAACTTTAAGTAATGGATGGACAAAAAATATAGAAAAATAAAGAAGGGGAACAAAAAACTTGGGTATATACCCCTATCAGGGGTGAAACAAAAACAGTGAAAGAGGGCCATGAGGGAGAACAAAAAAAGTTTCTCCATCTCAGGGTGTTAGGCCCAGGTTGGGGGGAGAGAAGGCTACTGGGTACAAGGGGAGCCAATATAAATAGTAAAAAACAAAAAGCAACTTTTTAAATATGACATTTGAAAGGACAAAAAGCACAGAACAATAAAAAATAATAAAATTAAATAAATATGAAATTATATAAAAAATAATTTTGATTGTATAAATTTAGAAAGTTTTAAGTAATCGAATCGATTTCTGAAATAAACCATAAAGGCACAGGTCAAATAACCGTTGGTGGGAAAACTCAAAAGTCTGTCCTAAAAAGGAGAAACAAGTCAAAATTCAAAGTAATCCCGATAAATCACCGGACTGGAGCAGGACTCGATAAGGACTGTGGAAAAGGAAGACTGTAGCTCTTTGAGCTGGGATCTCAGGAAGTGTCCGATTTACTTCTCTTGCTGGCCTGCATAGGAGTAGATGGCGAGAGTCTATGAGGCGAAACCTGACGTCTATTCATGGAATTGATGAGTTCCATTCCTTCCTCAGGCGACGTGATTATGAAATTCTGACCATCCATACGGAAAAGGACTTTAACCGGGAATCCTCATCTATATCTTATCCCTCTTCGTCTTAGCTCCGCAGTGAAAAGTTTAAATTCCCTGCGTCGCTTCATTGTTTGAGCAGAGAAGTCTTGGAAGACCTTCATGCCGCTGTAATCTCCTGTGAGACCTGAAGTGCGTACTGCACCAAGAAATTCCTCTTTAATGTGGTAGTAGTGGAATCTCACTATCACATCTTTGGGTGCAGCCACAGGTGCATTGCCGGGTTTGGGCAATCTATGGATGCAGTCCAGTAATAAATCCGTATTTTTTACGTTTGGTAGAGCTGACTTCACCATTGTCTGGAAATAGCTTTGTAATTCCTGAGAATCGATATTATCAGGGATCCCCCTGATCCTTAAGTTATTACACCTACTTCTATCCTCAGCGTCGGCTAACTTTTCTGCTTGTTGGTGCACTTGCTTTTGGAGCTCTTTTACGGTTTCAACCAGATCCAGGTGAGATTGCTCTTGAGAGTGCAATCTATTCTCTATTATTTCCGTACGCTGGTTAATGCCCTCAATGGCACCATATAATGCGTCAAAGTCTTTTTTAAAGTCGTTTTTCAAATCAACTCTCAAATCTTTGATGAGTTGAATTATCATGCCAGCTTATGGTGGCAGGTCTTCTGCCAATTCAGGTGGCATATTAGGATTGTAGGTCGCTGCTTTAAATGTGGTAGTAGCCATATTGGAGGTGGCAGTGGCCATCTTGGGAGTGGAATATACAATATCTGGGCTGGCAGCCATCTTTGTTGTGGCATCATGATGTATTCTCTGTGGTAGTGCAGAGAAAGTACTTATTTGGAGCACTTCAGCCCCTATTTCCATTCTCTGGGCTTTCTATAGGGATTCTCTGGGCTTTCTATAGCCCTTACTGTGCCTTTAAATATTTTGGGTCGGCCAGCAGAGTCCCCCCCCCCTCCCGAGACCGGGGGGGGGGGGCAGCATGTGTATGGGGGGGGCAGTATGGGGGCTATGTGTGTGTGTGTGTGTGTGTGTAAGGGTAGGGGGGGGCTTTTTTTTATAATATATATCTTTATTTAATTAAAAAAAACAAATATTCTATGTCCCCCCTCCCTTCTTACCTTTATTGAGGAGGAGGGGGGACATATTTTCATCCCTGGTGGTCCCAGTGGTGATTCCCTGGTGGTCCCAGTGGTTACAGTGAACTCTAGCCCGCGCTCCCGGGCTAGAGTTCACTCTCGCGAGATTTGGAGCGTTGCCGTGGTCCAAAATCTCGCGAGAGGAGGACCCGGAGGAGCTGCAGACTGAGCTCCCGGGTCCTCCCTCTCCCTCCCCTGCCGGCTGTCAGCACAGTGCCTGCGGACCGGGGAGGGAGATCTCTGATCTCCCCTCCGGTCCGCAGGCACATTGCAGGGCTAGCACCTGCATGTGCTGGCAGGGGAGGGAGACCGGCGGATTTCTCGGGGGGGGCAATTGCCCCGTTGCCCCCCCCCCCGGATCCGCCAGTGGATTCCAGGTTTATTCAATAAATCTTGTAGTTCCTAAAATCATCTGGGTGACGCACAGTAGATTCTTAAAAAGAGGGCTTACTACATTTGGTACAACATCTCTCTTCCTGTCTATGTGAGAATTCAGTGCAAATGAAGATAAATCTTACATTATTTGTGGACTATATTAGAGATTACATTTTGTAAAATAAAAGAAGGTTGACATGGAAAAGCACTATAGAAGCCATAACTGCTTATCACTAAGCTTGAAAATTTTAGTAATGTAAAACATATCACCTTCACTGGAGACAGGGACCAGTCTGCATGTTTTTCCAAAACATTAAGCGTATGAGCAAATATATCAGCAACGTAAATGAACCTTTAGGGGAGTACAAAGGACAAAAAGAGAATTAGAGTCTAGAATCTCCACAAGTCATACACCTAAAAAAAATGGGAAAATATAAATGCGTTTTTCCAGCTAAATAAAAAGTGCAATATAAACAGTACATAAAGATGAAGTATGTATTTTGGGATATGAATGCCATCTCTGGGAATGTATAGAAACATTGGGAAACATTTGATCTCGTACTTAAAGGGACACTATAGTCACCTGAACTACCTTAGCTTAATGAAGCAGTTTTGGTGTATAGAACATGCCCCTGCAGCCTCACTGCTCAATCCTCTGCCATTTAGGAGTTAAATCCCTTTGTTTATGAACCCTAGTCACACCTCCCTGCATGTGACTTGCACAGCCTTCCATAAACACTTCCTGTAACGGGATATTCTAATGTTCAATACCTATTGTATGGTCTCAGTTCAGCTGTGCCAGAAGATGCGTATTGCCATGGATAAAAAAAATAAGATTACGAGGGCCATGAATTGGTTGAATTATGGCTGAGAATGGAGAAGTGAGGGAAATGGAATTAACCCCTTAAGGACACATGACATGTATGACATGTCATGATTCCCTTTTATTCCAGAAGTTTGGTCCTTAAGGGATAAGGACATGGCATCAGGGGTGCATTAAAGGACCACCATAGGCACCCAGACCACTTCAGCTCAATGAAGTGGTTTGGGTGCCAGGTCGCCCTTGTTTTAACCCTGCAGCTGAAAACATAACAGTTTCAGGGAAATTGCTATGTTTACATCACAGGGTTAATCCAGCCTCTAGTGGCTGTCTCCCTGACAGCCACTAGAGGCGATTCCGCAATTTACAGGGAGTAAATTGCACTGATTTGATGCTGGACGTCCTCGCGGAGTCCAGTGTCAAAAAAGATCCCCACGCACCTCTGGCTGTGCATGCGCATTCGGCTCCACTCGGAAGCTGAAGTCATTGGAGGAGGAAAGGTCACCAGTGCCGAGAGGAGTGCCCGGCGCTGGATTAAGGTAAGCAAATAAATGGTTAATTAACCATTTATTCGCTGTGGAATCGGTGACTAGGGCTCTATAGCGTTAGGAATACACATTTGTATTCCTAACGCTATAGTGTTCCATTAAAAGAACATAGCAATGGGGGATGAATTTGGAGAACGGTAAAGGGGTTGTACCTACAGAGAATTCTATTCTTGTGTTTTACCTTACATGATACTACGGAAAACATCTTGATGAACATTATTTTCATGTGCTGGCATTTGGAATTTTGATTATATATATTAGTCAATACACTGTTAAACACAGATCTGCACACTAGTCAAGCCATAAGATTTGCTTTTCCCACGGATATCTCAAGTTAGCAGTGATTTTACTACTGCAAGGGATTCTGTGTGGGCATTTGCAAATTGGTTCAACCAAGAAACACCTTTTTGCCTCATTATTTAATTTTACACATGGATTCCTTGGATTTTATGTTTGTTGTATACAACAGCTTTGAAACATAACTCAATAGATGCAAAGCCAGTGAACCACTCATGGACAGCTGTTTCGTTGTTAATGCAACTCATTGACATGAGGTTGGTTACTGACTTGCTAGTGGGGCTTGGTGTTACTTGCGGAGTACAAACCAGGAACGTTTTGGTGGGGAAAAAAGTGATTGAAAACCCAATCCACCTGAAGTCAGTTGATAGTCAATACATTGTTAAACACAGATCTGCACACAAATTGAGCCATAAGACTTGCTTTTCCACCTGAAATGTCAAATTTGCAGTGATGTTACTACTGCAAGGGATTCTGGATGGGCATATGCAAATTAGTTCAACAAAGAATCACATTTTTGTACACACACACAGATCCCTACATTTTTTGTGTACTACACATTCTATGAATCCTTTCATTTGTTCCATATTCTATTCAAATATTTAGTTAAGAACCCATATCCGTTAAAAAGTGCACTTACACATACCCTAAGGTGGGAACTGTTCTACCCAAGCCTGAATTCCCGAGCTAGCCTGAAGCTCTATTAAATGTTAGTGGCTGTCCACATTTATTTTATCCAATTGTGAAAAACTCTCTTGGGACTACTTTGAATGTATTCCACCACTTTGTTTTCAAACGGATGAGTGAAATTCATGCCTCATCCAATACTTTATTTGAATAAAAAAGTTTTAAAGTACTAATTCTAATTACTCAGATGACTGTCAAATGTACTATTATTCTTGAAAGGTTTAATGCGTGATGGTAGCTTTGTTCTTTAGTAAATATTCCAAATATTATAAAATAAACTCAGCACGAGTAGTCTTAGCAGCTGTCGAGACCAAGTAATCTTAGACACTGCCGACACTAGCGTCTCTGTGGGAACTTTGAACGGACTGCATAGAGGCTGAGCACTGATAAGCTTATTATTCTACAGCACATGACTGACTTTTACTTATATTTTATTTATCAGTAAAGTGTTGTGATATCCTGCTGATGTCAATTTCCTCCTTGCTCTTACCCCGTAGCAAACAGTGTATCTGGATATGGGGAATAAGGGATAAGGATGCCGGCTCAAAATTGAGACAGGCCATACCCTTTTAAGCACTACATGTCATTGTAGACAGGAAAAGTTTTGAAAAGGAGAACATAAACTATTCTTCGGCATGGGACAGTTTCTGGTTCATTATTATGAGACATTTTTGTAACCTTAACACTTTTTTCAGAACTTTTAATACAGGACTTATAATGATGTATACCCTCTACGACTGTGATTTAGCCTGCATCATTTCTTCTTGCAGCATATCTATTGCTGCTTTTAAGAATAGTATTTATATATGCCAGATAGGATATTTGTTCCATACAATATTGGTTTAGACCAGTGCTTTCCAAACCAGTCCTCAACGCACGCCTAACAGGCCAGGGTTTAGAGATTACCCAGTTGTGTCTAAGGTGTTTTTAGAAAAAAAACAAAAAACACCTTGACATAACTGGGTAGTCTCTGGTCTGCCATACACAGCTCCCCCTTCCAAATGGTTGAATAAAAAGGAGATAGATATACATTACGTTTTATCAGTTGACATGGCGATTCCATTTGCACTATAGAATCCAGAGGCCACTTGTCTCACTTCACTGGGGCTGTAGTAAACAACGTTTGTCCATCCTAATCCGAAAAACAATTCCAGGTGTCTCAGAGTGAAATCGGAGAAATAATAATCGTTGGTGGCATAAAAGCTCTCAGGTCCCAGAGCCACAATATTGTTAACACTGCAAGGGAAAATAAGATGCCTTAGAGTGGTCAGTTGTTAAAGGAACACTATAGGCACCAAGACCACATCAGCTCAGTGAAGTGGTTTGGATGCAATGTACCCCTTTGTTTCAACCCTGCAGCTCAGCTTATCATTTTGCTTGGATAATAATGGAAAAAGGGGAATTTAAAAAATAATTTAAAAATTCTTGTTTTGCCTATTATGATTTGTAGACAACTAGTGCTTATAAAGAAAAGTATGTGACAATAGGTTTATTAGTTTTGATTTTGGGAATACCAAAACATATTGTTCACCATCACAGGTCATATACCAAAACAGTGTAATCCTGTTTAAGAAACTTAAAGGGACACTGTAGCCACCAAAACAACTTTAGTTTAACCCCTTCCCGACCGCGGACGTATCAGGTACGTCTGGCAAAAAACGGTCCACAATGACCTTGGACGTACCTGGTACGTCCGCAGCTATTTTGAGCGCTGGAAGCTCTGATAGTATTGCAGTGATGCTCTGCATGTGCTGAGTGCCTCGAGGGGTCCTGGCACTCAGTGCATATATAATAATATATATAAAAAAATAAATATAAAATAAATAAAATTATCAATATTAACCCGCTCCCCCTCCCTTTCTAAAGGCAGTGAATCATGGGGCTTCTGGGGGTGTCCCTAGCATGCCGCATCATAAGGGGCAGGCTGGGGTCATGCAATCACAGCTTGCCCCATTAGCAATTTCATCCCAAGTGTGTTCCCCATTTCTCTGATTAGTGTGGATCTGCCTCCCTCTCTTCACTTGTGTTTTAGAGAGAGAGGGAGAGAGATCTGTGGTTTAGCTAGAGAGATTTAGGTATTTATAGGTAGGGATTTGTAAAATCTTGAGACCCAAAGGCTCTTTTCAGAGCCATTAACCCCTGTCTTGCCAGTGATCACTATAATCACTGGCTCTTGCACAGCAGCACTTTTCTGCTGTTTGTGCATTTTTTTTAGGTGTTCATTTTTTTGTGATCTTTTTTTTTTGAGACCCAAAAGCTCTTTTCAGAACGATTAACCCCTGTCCTGCCAGTGATCACTGTACAGATCACAGGCTCTTGCACAGCAGCACTTATTTTGCTGTCTGTTCATTTTTTTTAGGGGTTAATTTTTTTGTCTTTTTTTTTGTGACAGGTCACTAAGTAAAGTGATTGTGATCATGTCACATCGGTCACGGAAATCAACCAGCGCTGAGCAGTCATATGCCACCCTTGCGCTAGAGTCTGACACGTCTATGTCAGACTCTGACCCTGATTTTGACCCTTCCAGGTGCTCAGATACATCATCACTAGATTCAGTGTCTGCTGCTAGTGATGTATCTAGTGATGTTGTATCTGTGCCTGCTAGTCCCCCTGCCAGAAGGAGACGTGCTGCTCCAGCTGGCAGAACTGCTGAGGAGTGGGTAGTGCCTCATCGCCAGAGGCCAAATATCCCACCCTTCACTGCAAATCCCGGCATTAATTTGGATGTCACAGGATTTAGCCCTCAGCAGTTTATGGAGGTGTTTCTGGGCGATGATGAATTGGGGAACATTGTCGCCCAAACTAATTTATATGCCCATCAATTCCGAGCTACAAATCCTGACTCTTTTTTGGCAAAGCAGCAATGGGCCCCCATCGATGTGCCAGAATTTAAAAGATTATGGGCATTGACTATACTGATGGGCATCATAAAGAAGCCCTCCATCCGCTCCTACTGGAGCAGTAGCCCCATCTGCTCTACCTCCATTTACTCCCAATGTATGTTGAGGAAGAGGTATGAAATGATTCCTTAGGGAGCATCCCCAGTTTGAAAGGCTGTATAAAATCCGCCCCCTGATTATCCACTTCGCTGCCAGGTTTGCAGAGCCTTATACACCTGGAAGGAATATATGCGTGGATGAATCCCTGATGAAGTATAAGGGAAGGCTGGGATTCAAGCAGTATGTTCCTTCCAAGCACTCTAGGTATGGTGTAAAGATGTATAAGCTCTGTGAGAGCGAGACTAGTAATACTCAGGCCTTCTGGGTGTTCGAGGGAAAGGATAGCCACCTTGACCCTCCAGGTTGCCCAGAACATATGGGAACCAGTGGCAAGATTGTCTGGGACCTGATATTCCCCCTGATGAACAAAGGGTACCACTTGTATACTGACAATTTTTATAAAAGTGTCCCTTTGTTCAAGCTACTGTACTGTTTTGATACAGTAGCTTGCGGCACAATCAAAAAGAACAGCACAGGTGTCCCAGGACAATTTGCACGCACCCAGCTACGAAGGGGGGAGACCTCAGCTCTGCACCAAGAGGAGCTGTTGGCAGTTAAGTACAGAGACAAGAAGGATGTGTACCTTCTTACCACCATCCACACTGAGGGGACTGTGGAGGTCCCTGTACGTGGCAGAGCTGAGAGAACGAGGAAGCCAGTGTGCATCAAGGTCTATAACCGGCACATGGGTGGGGTTGATCTGGCAGATCAGCTGCTGCAGCTGTACCTAATTATACGAAAGACAAGGGCCTGGTACAAAAAGGTTGCAATCTACCTAATGCAGATTGCAACCCACAACGCTTTCTTGTTGTTCAAAAAAGCAAACCCCAGGACGCAACTGAGATTTTTACAGTTTCAGCTCCAGATCATTTCGGGGATTTTGTACCGTGATGCACCTGCTCCCCAGGCAGTGATGGGAGAGAGCAGAGTTGGGGGGTACACATTTTATTTTTAAAATTCCCCCTACTGCGGCAAAGCAGAATCCCCCAAAAAGATGCAGGGTCTGTTCTAAGAGGGGGCAGAGAAAAGATATTGTATATCACTGTCCTGATTGCCCTGGACAGCCTGGACTCTGCATTGGAGACTGCTTCAAACTATACCACACGGTGGTCCATTTTTTATTTATTTTTTATTTTGCCGTTCAGTTTTTTTTGGGGGGTCTTTTTTTTTGTTTGTTTGTTTTGTTACATTTACCCCGTGCATGGGGGGCATGGGTGTCCTTAGGAGGCCTGGCAGAAAACAACCTGGGGTGTTTTCTTGCAATAACCAACAACAGGCTCTCCTAAATCACAGTCAAAAAGCAGTGTGCGTGTGTAAAAATGAGGATTGAACAGTTACCTCCACACACGTTCTTCAACTTTTTTTATTTTTTGTCTGGCTAAAAAAAAGTTGCATCAAAGCACTCCACATGCAATACCTCGGGGTGTCTACGTTTCAAGTATGTACCCTTTCATGGCGATATATAAAACTGGTTATGTGATAAGCCCCAAGCTAAAGATAGGCCTATCAGAAGAAATACTCTCAATTTCAACTCAAATTGAAAGTCATACAATTGTAACCGTACCTTCCCAAAATCCTGGCAAACCTATGCATGGGGGGCATGGGTGTCCTAAGGAGGCTTTGCAGAAAACAACCAGGGGTGTTTTCTTGCAATAACCAACAACAGGCTCTCCTAAATCACAGTCAAAAAGCAGTGTGCGTGTGTAAAAATGAGGATTGAACCATTACCTCCACACACGTTCTTCAACTTTTTTTGACTAAAATGATTGCATCTAAGGCATCAAAACACTCAATATACAATACTGCTGGTTGTCAACTTTTCAAATATATGCACGCTCATGGCAAGAAAATACATTGGGATATCTGATAAGGCCCCCAAAAGGAAGATAGGCAAACAAGATATGTAAAATTTGAAAAAAGCATATCAGACATTTTGCTTTGCACCCCCCAGTGAACCCGACACAAGTATGCATGGGTGGTATCGCTGTACTCGGGAGATGTTGCCGAGCACATATTGGGGTGTCCTTTGGCAGTAACACCTAACAGGAGCTTAGAATCAATGCCCAAAGTAGAATGTGTGAGTGAAAAATAACACAAAAAAAACGTTTGACAGAGACTGGTGGTAGAATTAGTGCATGTAAAGTGTTGAAATGCCACCATGTGAAATGCCCTAGGGTGTGTACTTTTGAAAAACATATGGTTTGACAGGGGTGAATTACATTGGCCGGCTTCAGAAATGTTCGAACTGGGACATGGGTGCATGATGGCCAGCTGTGTTTTATTTTTCAATTTTTCATCATATTTAACTTTTTTTATTCTAGTAAATTATATGATATGATGAAAATAATGGTATCTTTAGAATGAACATTTAATGGCGAGAAAAATGGTATATAATATGTATGGGTACAATAAATGTGTAAGAGGCAAATTACATCTAAACACAACCACTGCAGAAATGTAAAAAGAGCCCTGGTCCTTAACGGTAATAAAACTGAAAAATGGCCTGGTCACTAAGGGGTTACTGAAGCAGTTTCTGAGTATAGATCATGCTCCCGCACTCCCACACTTCTCACTTATTCCCATTTAGGAGTTAAATCACTTTGTTTATGTTCCCCTGGTCCTACCTGCCTGTATGTGAATTACACAGCCTTCTTAAACACTTCCTGTAAAGAGTCATCTAATGTTTGCACTTCCTTTATTGTAAATTACCTTTAATTTATAATTTGCTATCTCCTGCACTGTTAATGGCTTGCTAGACCCTACAGGAGCCTCCTGTATGCAAGTAAAGTTCAATTTAAAGAGCAGGAGAGAAAAACTTCTAAAGTGAGTTAACCTCTGATTGAATATGAAACCATTTGTTTCATGCAGGCTGTGTCAGTCACAGCCAAGGGAGGTGTGGTTAGGGCTGCATAAACAGAAACATAAGTGATTTAACTCCTGAATAGCAGTGAATTGAGCAGTGAGACTGCGGATGCATTAACTATACACCCACACTGCTTCAATAAGCTAAAGTTGTTTTGGTGACTATAGTGTCCCTTTAAAGTTGTCAGATTTTGATAAGTTAGATATGTAAGTTTAAAAGAGGTTGTCAGGAATTCAATGTAAAGTCTCAAATTTAAGGATTTGAGGATTTTTCCAATTTGTCTATATGGGCATTGAATTTGATATTCACTTTGAATTGTCAAAAATTGTCACTGTGTTAAATAAAACTGGGAATGTATTAATACATTAATTTGCTTATTAAAGAAAGCATACTAAAATATTTATCTATTGAACTTTAGACACTTTTAATGCACCCATTTTATTGCCGGTCTCTTTCCATTGCCAATCTTTTCAGGTAAAATTCTGTTTTTAACATACACAGACACAACATTTTTACAAACATGATTTATTCTACCACACTAATATCCCCGTATTTGTGTTCAGCTTGATCTACCAAGTATTGAAATGTCTGTTATACCTTTCATTGTTTGGGATTTTGATGCTGTGCTTGTATCTAATTTTTTGGCAGAAATGCTGGCCACCATATACAATTGGTATAGTATGGGGGAGAGCAAAAACCCTTTTGAGGATATGTTCAGATCATAGAGTTATTTTCTTAATGAAGAAGGTGGTTGGAAATTCTGATGAATAAGGACAGTGATTATGCTTGCCCAAGTCTCTATGTCACTCACAATTACTGCGAGAACTTTATTTTTGGAATCTTTGCAACACTGTTGTTTAACTAGCACACACCGTATTTTAAAGCCATTTACGCTCTGTGAGTTAGTTAGACATATGGTCAATAGAGCACGGCAGAATGAGAACGGAAAAATTAAGAGTTCATTCCCAAATTTGCCAGCACTACCAGGAGAGCTGGAGGTATACACCGAGGGCTCTGTTGGAATACGTTATTACAAGCAACACTGGGGTGTTGTAGAGCAGAATGAAAGTTCACTATTAAAGGAATACAGTACCAAAGAGAACATATTATAGCGGCTGAAAAATACGTGGATAACACTGGTGATGTTTATTCACTAAATGTTAGTGAACCAAAGTCGTAACGAAAAAAAGTAGGCAAAAAATATCTGATGGGGGAAAAAAAAATGATTACTCGCTTTAGTCAGTTTTGATAATTTAGGTTAAATTTTGCAATATGGTTTTCAATTCAATACAAGCTGACATTTCATGAAAGAGCCCCTGGTATGTACTACTAGATAATTTTGAGTCTGGAGGATCATTGCTAAACAATATAAACAGCTGTGGAATATGTTACTGCTATATAAATTGTAATAAAAAATATAATACTTAGGAAGCAGGTCATGCTTAATCGTTTTCAGGTGCGTAAGTACATTTTCCTCTTCTTCAAATTTAAAGATCTCAATGGTGGTTTTGTATTGTGGATGATTAACCACAAACAGGTATACCGTGTCATCTTAAAGGAAAAAAAAATAAAAAATCAATTGGAATCATGCAGTAAATTAAATGAACATTAACCACAATACTGTCAGCTACAATACTATTAAGTCAATTTACAGGTCTGATAACAGCTGACTGATGTGTTATAGTCTTATAGTCTCTGATAAAGTGTCAGTAGGCATGAAACGCGTCAGTGGTGGTCCTTCTGTTCCCCCCTGTATGTCCTAACCGCAAGTCTACTCAATTTGAATTTATCAGTAACTTTGGATGGTGGCAAAATTAGGCAATCCAGATCCTTTCAATGTGTAATCATATGCTCATTTTAGTTTTGCCTAAATATTGATTGCATTAAAAAAAACACTGTCTGGGAGTAATTTTGCCCATTATTTTTGACAGAGTTTCCCCATGAGGTTTAGGTTGGTTGGGTGGCACTTGTGGACTGCAATTTTAAAATACTGCCACAGATTCCCAGTAGGACTGAGATAAGAATTTCTATTGGACCACTTCAGGATAATCATCTTTCTGTTCATTCCAAAATTGCTTACGCCTTGTGCTTGGGATTATTGTCCTGCTGAGAAGTGAACTTTCACATTTTTAGCAGACCGCAAAAGTGGTTCTCCTGATGTACTGCCATGTATTTTGCCTCATTCACACCTCCACCAATTCTTATAAGATTCTCAAACCTGCTGATGAAGAGTACCTCTACAGCATGATCGTGCCATCACCATAGGTACAGGGTTTCTTGAGGTATGGGCAGTATTTCATCTGTGCTACACATTGCGGTAGCCAAAAAGTGCAATCTTGGGGGCTGCCATGGGGTACTTTGAAGCTGTGGTGGGCTTAACATCATATGGCCATATGGTGGAACTAAATCCCCACATTTATTCTCTTAGATAGTTTTATAGTAGCCTTCTTAGTTATGTATTTTTAGAAGTCTGAGTGCGCCGTAACTATTTTTTTCTGTATGAATTTTGGTGACTGCGGCAGCACTTTTCTTGCATAATGCATCTTTCGGGTGTGCCCCCAATCTCTTCTCTGTGCAAGCATATTTGGAATCCAGACCCAGGCACCCCAGCTTCTGAGGCCTCTTTAGAGGTGGCCACAGGTGTGTGTATAAATAGGAGGAGTTTTATAGTCATGTCACTTTTATTATTTTCTTCATGAAGCACAGATATTATCTGCAAATGTGAGTATACTCATTCAAGCACCAACACTTTAATTGATTAGTTGTTACACTGTTTTTAATTGCTTTTATCACTCTGTATTTTCGTATAGTCATTTTGCTCTTACAAAGAAATTAATTTAATACACTGTAGCTTTATTTTTAGCACCAGTACTATTTAATATGTCTCCCACATTTTGTAATTAGCATAGGACCCACTAACATTGGGGTACTTTGAAGCAGTGGTGGGCTTAACATCATATGGCCATAAGGTGGATCTAAATCCCCATATTTATTCTCTTAGATAGGCGTTTTATAGTAGCCTTCTTAGTTATGTATTTTTAGAAGTCTGAGTGCGCCGTAACTATTTTTTTCGGGCTAAATAACTGGGTCATCGGACCAGGGTCTAAGGAGACCAATTATGACACACAAGCACAGAGACACTCGCAGCCCCATTAAAAATGGACTTAACAAGAGACAGCAGCTGCACGTAAATAGCTCGCAGTTTAAAACTTACTATGCTCTGTAACACGTTGCAGACAATTTGTACCTAGCAGCCTTTCCTCCCCACATACCCTTACACAGAGTCTGATTTTCGTAAAGGATTCTGCTCACTTCCAGTGGTCATTTGCTTACTTGCCTACTTACTCAACCATGCTATTTTGTACCCTCCGTGTCTGATGCCTTTTTCTTGTGAATCTCCTACACTCTCTCACACGTAGACACTTACGATCCAGCTATTACTGCACTACATTATAGCACCGCAAATAGCATCTATTCAGCATAAGCCTTATGCCTTTGTTTTTCGTGACCTGCTGTCACTCTTCTCATAAATCACGCTGTCTCTCTCTCTGGTATAGGTTTAGGGTTTCTGCAGCGCCATTCTTCACTTATCAGATTAATGCCAGTACATAAGAAATTTGTATGTTATTTCTACTTTACATACTGAACATAAGATTATCTATCAGACTACAACTGTATGACCTCTCCGAATGCCACTGCAGAGTGTATTAACTGTTAGTCAACTATAACTTCACTATACTGTGTATTAAGCGTTACACAAGAAAAGGGCTGTTAAGGGTTTTCCTGTGATATCTCTACTTCACATACTGAACATAGGCTTATCTATGAGGCTATAGCTGTATGATCCCTCCAAATGCCATTGCAGAGTGATTTAACTGTTAGTAAACTATAACTCCACTATACTGTTTTATTAAGCTTTACATAAAAAAAAAGAAAAAGAAAGTGCTGTTAATAATTGCCATGATATTGTAAAATAAGCATTGTTCCATCGGCTTGTACTTGCTATCGTGGTGATACAAGCGTGTGTGTTAAATCTAAGCACTGCAAAAATAATTTATTTATTTTTTTAAAAGTGCAATCTTGGTCTCAACGGAACACAAAACGTTTCCTTCTTAGAAAAGTCAGTCTTGTGTTTTTAGCAAACTCCATACCTGCTTTCATAATGAAACATAGAACGTCTGCCCAATTTTCTAAATACTTTTCTAAAAACGAATGGTTTATTTCTTTACACCCTGCCGTAAAGCAGAGCTCTTGAAATGTGCACATTGACCCCAGTCTCGGTCATTGACCTTTAAAGCGACTGGTGGTCTTTTCTTGGCTCCCCTCACAAGTCTCCTCCTTCCATGTTTGAGAATCACCTTGTCTAAGCAGTGTCTAAATGGGATTTCCAAACTCTTTGCTATTACTTTGTCTTAACTGATGTAGTCTGTGTACTCCCTTATGGATGTACAATGCTCTTTCTTGTTCATTGTCACAGTTTTCTTTCAGATCTGCAGCCTGACCACCAGTGATCTATAGCTCATATGTAAAGGCTAATAGGTAATCGTATTGCCAAAACTAAAATATGCAGTTAAATATATGTGCAAACTGCATATTTTAGTTTAAAGGAACACTATAGGGTCAAGAACACATACATGTATTCCTGACCCTATAGTGTTAAAACCACTATTTAGGTGGCTTGCCCGACCTTAGCCCCCATTAAAATGTAATAAAACTTACCTTATTTCCAGTGCCTCTGATCTGCCTCCTTGCTGACATTATCAGAATCTATGATTTCAGCCAACCCAATGCTTTCCCTTAGGAAGAGCATTGGATTGGCTGAAATCGGCAAGGAGGCAGAATGAGGGGGCAAAATGAAGGCTTGGCCAATCAGCAGTGAATTAATACATCGCAATGATACAAGTTTAGTGTCTCCATGCAGAGAGTGAAGATGCTAAACGGCAGTTCTGCACACTGTGCATCACAGCTGCAGGAAGCACCTCCAGTAGCAATCTGAGGATTGCCCACTGGAGGTGTCCCTAGGGGGCAATGTAAACACTGCTTTTTGTCTAAAAAAGGCAGTTTTTACATGAAAATGCCTGCAGGGTCTGATTATACTTTCTAGAACTTTCTAGAACAAATACAATATGCCTTAGTTGTTCTGATGACTGTAGTGTCCCTTTAATATTTTTCTTGAAAGTTTTTTCAACATAAAATCAAAATCACCTTAAAAAAATTACCATTGAGTTTAAATGTTTTTTGAGATGAACTATCACACAGAAGAAAAGTTTAGCATATGGAATGTTTTCAGTAAAATGTGAGAATTGGTCAAGAAGCAGAATATTTTTTTATGAATGCTTGTTGTCCTTTTTTGTTTCTTTGTTCCACAGGCATGTCTCTCTTTTTGTCTCTATTGCTTCATTCTAATCACCATATACAACTCATACTGTTGTAGTGGTTATGGTGCTTTTTTGACTGTTAGCACCATCCCTTTGTTCACTCCCATCAGCTGACGGGCTCAGCCAATCAATGTCTGCAAATATAGATGGGTCTGATATTGCTAATCCAAAATTACAATTTTCACCAGAATTATTCATCTGTCTGGGCTGCTGATGCCTGTGATATGCTTGTTAATCCTGGAGCCTATCACCACCATAACCAATCCCTACAATATTATGTAGTGGTTATGGTGTTTATATTGTCCTTTAATATTGCTTTGCATCACCAATACAGCTTTAAGAGTAGTCTGAATACATTGCTACTTTGGGAACTGTAATAAATAGCAATGGTTTGTTCTCATTGAAATATTTTTTAAGTAGGAGCAACTTACCTTTTTCATCAATGTAAGTGCTGATACCGTGAGGATTAAATGTGGAGATATCAAACCCTCTACTGAAACGCAATGAGCTTGGACGCAGATTTTCTTCATTAAGATCCAATAGAAATATTTCTCCAGGTTTTTCAGGTGCAAAGCTTATCAGACCAGGATATTTTAGACCCTAAAAAAATAAAAGGTACATCACAGATTTTTAATTAATTTCAAGAGTTGTTCTTGACATTTGATCTGTGCAGTCAGAATTGCCTAAATATTGCACAGTCTGCATGGAACATCCGAAAATATCGCAATATAACTCTTCGGTGTGGATTTTGGATTGGTTACAATATTTCTTTTTTCATAATAATACAAATAATAAATAACAGATGCTGAGACTATGCCTTTAAAAATCTGTCCTTAAGGATGAAGGCAATCGTACAAGTTCTAATCAAAACAAAAAATGGAATTTGTGCTATATGTTTGTCCAACCATAATTTACCTCTTTCATATTAAGTGCTCCCACACTTATTATATATCTTTTTTTTCCAGGAGAAACAGGGCTTTCATTTCATATCAAATATTCATTTATGAAACGTAATTTTATATAAATACAATCTAAAAAAGTGAGAAATATTAAGAAAATGTGTTATTTTCTTACTTCTGCATGATATTTTAAATGTGATTGTCAAAATACTGTTAGCTTTTACTGCAATAAAACACATACATTTGTGTTTAGCGATGTATTGCGAGTACAACAGTAATATCAGCTGCATTATACATTTCACTGCTCTTAAACACTCATATTTGTGTTCAGCAATGTCTCATGAGTAAAACAGTATCCCCATGTCCAGGTTTTATGGCGTTTTAGAAAATTACGGGTCAAATATAAGACTTGCCCTTTTTAGTTTTTACATATTGAAATTTGCCAGATTGGGCATTTTGCCTTTGAGACCGTATGGCAGCTCAGGAATGTGAATTACCCCATCATGGCATACCATTTGAAAAAGTAGACAACCCAGGGTATTCAAATGGGGTATGCCCAGTATTTTTTAGTAGCCATTTAGTCATAACCTTTGGCCAGATTTAGCATTCATATTTGTTTTTTGCATTTTTCACACAAAATCTGCACTTTCACTAATGATATCGTCATGTTTAACTGTTTTTACGTCAGTATTCCATATATACAGGTTTTATGGGAATTTAGAATATTATAGGGTTAAATATAGGGCTCGCAAATTCAAATCTGTGGACTTTCTGCCTGGGTTGTCAGGCGTGCGCCACTTAGTCTAAAGGAAGTGCAGATAGTGAAAAAGCGCACAAGGCACATTCACAACAAGCACATGTCCTAGGATTTTGCAATGTCATTGATGACCTCGGCAATGGTCAAATCCAATGCTCCTCGTAGAGGAGCATTGGGGGACCTGATGTGCAGCAAGCGCCAAGCATATATCCAAGCTTCCACATAGAAAAGCACTGTATTCATCATGTGACCAAGTTTCAATCAGCCAGTGCAGCAGAGACACCTCTAGTGGCTGTCAGGAAGGCAGCCAGCTTGAGAGGTGGATTTAACCCTGTAATGTAAACACTGCACTTTCTAAAAAACTGTATTTTTTTATATTAAAGGGTTAAAAGGACAGGGGTATTGCACCCAGATCACTTTATTATTATCTTTGAGACAATAAGGAAGCCCTGGAAATAATATTTTCCTCTTGATGGCATGTTATTTCCTAAAATAGACAACCCGTATTATTCTAATAGGGGTATTTTGAGTTGTTTAGAGTATGCACTTTATGAAATGCAGGCGCCCTTTAGTTTCTATATTTTCATTTGTTTTTCACACGCAAGAATTTCATTTTCACAGAAAATGTCATAATCCTGATATGTGTCCCAATATTTCAATATTCAATATAGTCTCAAGAATATAACCATGTTCAGATGTACGAGTTTTCACATTTTTGTATTTATGGAAGTTACAAGGCCAAATTTATTATATGCCCCATTTTAAATTTGGAAATTCTATATGTTGTATTTGAGTAGTTTGATGTAGCCATTTTATCATGAACCTATAGTGGCTTAGCATTACATAAACAAGGAAAGGCTAAGGTCAGGGTATTCAGAAATCAGAGTAGTCAGTATAACAAACCAATAAATCCAGGAGAAGCTGAGGTCAGGAATCCAGAATAACTGGTGAATCTTTTGACTCAGTAGTTTACCTCTGTATGGTAGACATGTGCATAAAGGACAAACATGTACAGGGAGTGCAGAATTATTAGGCAAGTTGTATTTTTGAGGATTCATTTTATTATTGAACAACAACCATGTTCTCAATGAACCCAAAAAACTCATTAATATCAAAGCTGAATATTTTTGGAAGTAGTTTTTAGTTTGTTTTTAGTTATAGCTATGTTAGGGGGATATCTGTGTGTGCAGGTGACTATTACTGTGCATAATTATTAGGCAACTTAACAAAAAACAAATATATACCCATTTCAATTATTTATTATTACCAGTGAAACCAATATAACATCTCAACATTCACAAATATACATTTCTGACATTCAAAACAAAAACAAATCAGTGACCAATATAGCCACCTTTCTTTGCAAGGACACTCAAAAGCCTGCCATCCATGGATTCTGTCAGTGTTTTGATCTGTTCACCATCAAAATTGCGTGCAGCAGCAACCACAGCCTCCCAGACACTGTTCAGAGAGGTGTACTGTTTTCCCTCCTTGTAAATCTCACATTTGATGATGGACCACAGGTTCTCAATGGGGTTCAGATCAGGTGAACAAGGAGGCCATGTCATTAGATTTTCTTCTTTATACCCTTTCTTGCCAGCCACGCTGTGGAGTACTTGGACGCGTGTGATGGAGCATTGTCCTGCATGAAAATCATGTTTTTCTTGAAGGATGCAGACTTCTTCCTGTACCACTGCTTGAAGAAGGTGTCTTCCAGGAACTGGCAGTAGGACTGGGAGTTGAGCTTGACTCCATCCTCAACCCGGAAAGGCCCCACAAGCTCATCTTTGATGATACCAGCCCAAACCAGTACTCCACCTCCACCTTGCTGGCGCCTGAGTCGGACTGGAGCTCTCTGCCCTTTACCAATCCAGCCACGGGCCCATCCATCTGGCCCATCAAGACTCACTCTCATTTCATCAGTCCATAAAACCTTAGAAAAATCAGTCTTGAGATATTTCTTTGCCCAGTCTTGACGTTTCAGCTTGTGTGTCTTGTTCAGTGGTGGTCGTCTTTCAGCCTTTCTTACCTTGGCCATGTCTCTGAGTATTGCACACCTTGTGCTTTTGGGCACTCCAGTGATGTTGCAGCTCTGAATTATGGCCACACTGGTGGCAAGTGGCATCGTGGCAGCTGCACGCTTGACTTTTCTCAGTTCATGGGCAGTTATTTTGCGCCTTGGTTTTTCCACACGCTTCTTGCGACCCTGTTGACTATTTTGAATGAAACGCTTGATTGTTCGATGATCACGCTTCAGAAGTTTTGCAATTTTAAGAGTGCTGCATCCCTCTGCAAGATATCTCACTATTTTTTACTTTTCTGAGCCTGTCAAGTCCATCTTTTGACCCATTTTGCCAAAGGAAAGGAAGTTGCCTAATAATTATGCACACCTGATATAGGGTGTTGATGTCATTAGACCACACCCCTTCTCATTACAGAGATGCACATCACCTAATATGCTTAATTGGTAGTAGGCTTTTGAGCCTATACAGCTTGGAGTAAGACAACATGCATAAAGAGGATGATGTGGTCAAAATACTCATTTGCCTAATAATTCTGCACTCCCTGTATATAGCTAGTCCCTGCTAACTCCTTTCTTGAAACAAACTCTGTACTTTTCCTGGGGTGACGTTCCTGGCTGGGGGATCCTACAAGGAAAGTGCTTGCCGCAAACAAAGTAAGATGCCAAATTCTCCCATATTTGAATAAGAGAATATCTAAATCTGATAAAAGCGGTTTTCTAAATTCGAGGAAAGTGGCTTATACAAATTATAGACTGCCATCTGTGATAAGTATATGGCATTTATTTTGGTATCATTTATGGTTTTTCGTGAGCATATTTATATATATCACAAGGTCAGGTAGATTTATGGGAAAACTCCAAGCACCATAACCACTACAGTGTGTTATGGTGCCAGGGGTACCCAGACATCACCCATTGTAAGCAAACTGTTTCAGAATGGTTTATCTTCTTACCTGGGACATGCGGGGTGCTGCTCTTTGCCTCCTCTATGGCCTTCAGAGAGTCGGAAGCTCATGAACAGGAGTTTCTGCTAGCTCTACTGAGCTAATCCCAGAGAGTATCAAGTTCTAAGTGGTTTGATTACTTACTATTGGATGCCAGGGCACTTCTGGTGCCATAACCAGTAAGGTGTTCCTTTAAATTGGGCTATATCTCATTCTGCTAATAGCCTTCCTGGTGGAAGTGTATAATTGTTGCCTACAGAACACTTTAGGCTTTCACTGATGACCTCTGACCACTGGTTCATCTACAGGCTCCACACTTTCCACAAGGGCATGTATTTACATTTTTTGGAATTGTTTCCCATTTAATGGATTACAAAAATAGTTGGTTGTATGCATTTTCCCTGTATTATCCTCACCATAGACAAACTGAAATGATCACACGGTAATGTCTCAATACTTACAGAACTGATAAATGCCAGTCCATTGGGTAGAATCTCAATATCCTCTGATCCAAGCTCTGTAAGTTAGAACATATCACAACCACATAAGTTTATATCCTAAACATACACTGAATTTAAATAGAAACTGAAGCCAGACAATATTTACAAGTCAGGAAATATTGATATTGATGCCTGAATTACCCAGAGCATGCAACACTGTGCAGCACTGACCCAGGAAGCACCTCTAGTGGCTTTTGAGTGACTGTCACTAGAGGTGTTACTAGGACCCAATTTTCTTTTAAAATGCAGTGTTTACATTAAAAAGCCTGCAGGGACAGGCTATAAACAGCTGAAGTGGTCTGGGTGCCTATAGTGGTCCTTTAATGTGGACAATATTTTACTTCCATCCTAATCTTATTCTAATTTCAGCTAATACTGTACCTCTTATAAAGGTTACATACATATCATACCATGTCTAGATACTTACAACCAATTGATTCTATTGTAATACCAGTCAAAATTCTACATACAAAAAATGACTTACAAATGATAGCCTACACTCTCCGTATAGCAGTGAGCATGACCCCTTCTAACATGTCATGCCAGAGTAATGCTCAAAAAAACAACCAATACCGGAGTAACCGCAAAACAATGACAAAATGCGACGTATAGGGCAATATTACATCACAAAATGATGTTGAAAACAGAAAGCTGCATTGGCTCTGTAAACTCAATTTTATGTGGTTACATTTAATGGTTAGCAACAAGGGCCAGCTTGTTCTGAATGAGCACCAGGTTAAGTTAAAATGAGATAGACTTACAGGCGTCATTCCACTAAAGTCTAAGTTAAAGTGGCATTGTCACAGTCTGGGGACTTTGACGAATTCGCAAAGTCACCTGCTACTGACATCGCCGCTGATGATCCAGTGGCCACAGGGTCAGGTAAAGGTGAGATTACTTACCTGAACCAGTCTATTGTCGGTGCCGTCATCTTTCTCATACTGCTCCGTTTCGAGTCTAAGTCACAGCTGTACTCTCGCGCAGGGAGTATAGCACTGAGGTCTACGGGGGATCTTGCAAGATGGTGGAGGAGAAATACAGAGACAAAGTAGTCTATACTTTGTCTCTGTATATCTCTTGACTGGGCTGGAATTTAGGTGAAAATCCAACACCGTCAAAACGAGTATTTCATAAAGAGTCTGTCTTTATAAAATACTTGATTTTCAGGGGGATGACAGTGCCGCTTTAAGAATGATTTATTTGACTTGGTTTAGAGGGACCATCTACATTTTTAGTAGTCCCCTGACTAACGTTAGGTTACAGAGTCATATATGTTCCACCATCTAACACTGCCCAATTGATTCCAGTTGACACCAGGTTCATTATGAAAAATTGTTAGAGCATCCGCACCCAAGGCACGAAAAAATACACTAAATAAAAATATATACATAAATAAATGAGTAGGTGTGACAAAACTTAAATTTCCCTTTTCCCACAACTGTTGTGCAGTGAGGATTAAGTTAAAGGGACATTATAGGCACTCAGACCACTTCATCTCATTGAAGTGGTCCGCGTACAGTGCCCCTGTCCGCTTAAAGGGACACTGTAGGCACACAGACCACTCTAGCTAATCGAAGTGGTCTGGGTGCTTTTTCCCTATTGCATTTAGTGCTGAAATGTAAAACATTACAGTTCCACAGTTCTTCAATGTTTATATTGCAGCTCTAAGTCTGCCCACTGTGGCTGTCTAACAGACAGCCACTAGAGGGCTTCCGGAATCCAAACCGTCCTTTGGTCGGTTATCTCATGCTGGACGTCCTCATGGACCTCCAGCATCAGATTTTCCCAATAAGAAAGCATTGAATAATGCTTTCATATGGAGAGGTCAAACACGCAACCATTGCCACGCATGCGCATTAGGTCTCCTCCGCTGACGTCAGGAGGAGCGTAGACGGAGCCTGACCCAGCGCCGTGGGTTTGTTTTCCTGGCACTATAGGATCCCTTTAACCCTGCATTCTAAAACATTACAGTTTCAGAGAAATTGTAATGTTTATATAGCAGTGCTAAGACTGCATCTAGTGGCTGTCTACCAGACAGCCACTATAGGTGCTTCCTACACTTTAACAGAATTTAACTGCATGAACGTCCTCACGCTGTGCATCTGATTCAATGCTTTAGTAGGGCGAAGGCCTAATGAGCGTCCATGCACATTAGGTTACCCCTCAGCTCTGATGCCTGAGGAGGTGGAGCCAGCACAACTGGGTCTTCAGTGGTGAGTGCAAGGGGGACGGGGAAGTGGACACTATAGTGTTACTATAACGACAACCCCTACCTTACATTCTCTTGTCTAACCAATAGATTGTGGCTAACATAGCATGGCTGTAAGGATTCTACCCTTCCATCTCCTCTCTTGAGTTAGGGGTCCCCAATTTTAGACACTGAACCTAATACAAAGCACAAGCACTTTAATCTTATTTTTACCTATCTGTTCTAGTGTTGATGAGATTTATAGACCTGAAAAGGGGCACAATAGCAACCATTCAGTGATAGCCAGTAACTATTTACTCTCACATGGCAGCTTTTAAGATCACATGGAAACATAATGTACAGTACAAAACTGGTGACAACATTTTTTAACAAAGCTTAGATCTGTTTTATACTTTGGCATAGCTATCAAATTGGCACTGTTTATTGTTTTTTGGGATGGCACTGAACGAATGCATCTATCTCAATATGCATTTATCCCCCCACAAACAGCCTAACTACAGAGATCATTCAATAATATACATCATTAAATGAACCCTTTTTATTTACTGAAACTAGCCCAATAGAGATGCATCATTTCTTTTTATGGCAGTCTAGGCATATGGGTACAACAGGTGAATAACAAACGTGGAATCAGTGTGAAAGTGACATGGGAGAGGAAAGGAATATTAAAGGAACACTATAGGGTCAGGAACACAAACATGTATTCCTGACCCTATAGTGCTAAATCCATCATTAAGGTGGCTTGCCCCCCACCTTACCCCCCTTAAAAGCATGAAACACTCACCTAATTTCCAGCGCCGTGTGGGTCTGTCGGCACTGGCCCTACACCATTGGTGACACCATCAGATTTGCCAATTTTTAGCCAATCCAATGCTTTCCCATTGGGCCATGGGGAAAGCATTGGATTGGCTAAAATCGGCACGGGGTGGGACCAAATGCCATTTTGGCCAATCAGCACCTCCTCATAGAGATGCATTGAATCAATGCATCTCTATGAGGAAAATTCTGCGTCCCCATGCAGAGAGTGGGGACGCTGAACAGCAGTGCTGCCTACTGTGCAGCACTGAGCCAGGAAGCACCTCCAGTGGCCATCTGAGGAGTTGCAGAACAATTTGTTTAATAATTATAAAACAATGAGAAGAATCTACTTGCTCAGACAATCTCAGTCCTGTGATAGCAGCTAGAGTCACACAACCTAGGCAACTAATCTATAGCACATAACCATCCTTGCATTATATAGTGTGCATGCAGATGAATGCCATTAATATTCTGTGGTGGGTCCAGGTGTGAAGTGCTTATGAAGGAGGCAGCAAAGAGACCTAAAGGAAGTTGAATATTGTATCTGAGTTCTGTCCAGGAATACTGATACATGTGGGAATGATGGTCTACAATGCAAGCAGACAGAAACACATTCTTGTAATCCTCATTTGATTAATAAAGGCAAATTAACAAATATTTGTCACCAGCCATGACTCCTTTTATCCTAACTATAAGATAAGGCCAGGGACTAATGAAAGTATTTAGAAAATTGGGCAGACTAGATGGGCCGAATGGTTCTTATCTGCCGTCACATTCTATGTTTCTATGTTTCCTTTTGTAACAAAAATGGTCTCTGAACATCTGATAGTAAACATGCTCATCATAATGTTAAATGGGAAGTTACAGGAAGTGTGAGTGATATTGCATTCGAGGAGTGTGGAAGTGAAGGTCTGGAAAGGACAGCACTCAGACCCACCTAAACAGTCTTCCTTCTGTGATAACAAAAAGCTAACACATATACAGAGTGTGATGAAAAGGGTTATTCATTTCTAGGCTCAGTAAGTGATGCCCCTCTAATCTTCAGTGCACGCAGAATATCCTCTGCTAAGTATAATGCACACTCACAAACAGTAGGATCAGCACACATCCATATTATATAAAGTGCAAATTAAAGATATCATTAAAAAAAACAAAAAAACCATACTTGATGACAAATAATGATAAAGAGATAGAGCGATAGATCTAACACCAAAGTAAATTTTCTTTTTTGGAAACCCAATACATAAAATGTTTCTCAGAAAGTAACAGACAATGATAAATGATTGCAGTCTTGTTTTGGATAACCAGTATACAGACAGCAGAAATAACAGACATTGACGGGGCAATCTGTGGAATGCCTCTGGTATGTCCAACATAATAGCATGCTGACAGTCTGGCTGAGCTGAGCATATTTAACTTTAGCTGACCAGAGTTTACCTCCATGGAGGGCAGAAATGAGCAAGGAACCAGCATAATATTATTAATATTAGGACGGCTCCAGAAGGTCGTTCAGGAACAGGTGTAGTTTTGATCTACATTTCCTGCTCTACCAACTCTTATCCTTAATTGTATCAGTTTCATTCACCCCTTAAGGACACGTGACATGTCATGATTCCCTTTTATTCCAGAAGTTTGGTCCTTAAGGGGTTAAACAGATGGAATAAAGGCAGCGGGTATATGTAACTATTTGACAATCCAATGCAAAGCATTCACAAATATTGTAATATGAGCAACTAGGATTTTTGACTTTGATTTTATTTTTAATTCATGATTTTTTTTTATAAACTGGTAGATATATATCGAAATATTTATTGATATCCCATCACAGACTTTCCAATGCAGCTCAGTGAGAGTTGTTTCTAGGTGAATACCTGCCTCTTTGGTTTAGCTCCACTGAGCTAAATGACCAGGACAGACGGGAAACACATTTCTAAAGCGTCACCCCACCGAACTTTCTTCTCCACTTGTCCAAACCTTATTACCCAAACCATATTCCCCCACAAAAACACAAAGGGGTCCTTTTCTATAAGGATGGGTCATTTTAACATAACATAACAAATTTGTGGATCCTCAGGGTCCTCTAAGATTAGTGGAGGATTTGATCAATAGCGAGCCTATTACAATAGTATCTATCCATGCACCTAATGAGAATCAAATTTGTTTTTTATCTAAGAGTTTTACAAAAATTGACACTATGAAAAGATGCAGATTGATCGTATGTAGGAACATGAACTGTACTCCAGATCCTTTTCTGGATTTCAAATCTGAGTTTACCAGACCACCAACTAAATCATCCCTCCAACTCGACCATCAGCTGACTGAGCTCCTGCATCTCCATGGAGTTCATGAAGTGTGGAGATAATTGTGGCCTCATTAAAGGAACTAACCATTTTATTAACCAGACCACAGATAATATTCTAGAACTGGCTTTTGCCTTGCTGACTCTGCTACTCTCTAGTCTGTCAAAACAGCAACCATGGTCAGAACATTACCCTGCCAGGCGCTGCTCATCGCCCTTTAAATGTACATTTAAAAATGCTTTTGTGGGGGGCGGGGCCTGACTGTCATGGAGGGAAGACGTGCCTAACTGAAGCTCCACACAAATCCTTGTAAAAATGGCTAAAATGGCACCTCTAAACCACAAAAAACAGCAGCACACGACCCCAAGCGACATAACAGCCCTCTACCTTAATGGCGAACCGGTGATGCGGCCCATGAGGGGACAGCAGACAGCAGACTATACCCGCAAGGGCATGCGGCCTGGCGCGCACCGGACGGGAGAGGCTGCCGATCTCCCAGCCTGGAGCCACATGGAAACCAACTGCCACAAGCAGATACCCGCAACCCCCCTTCTGGACCTGCAGGGGTGATCCCGGTCCACCCCTGAGGGTCCCCCCCAACACGGCAAAAATAACTGGGGAGAGCCGAAGGGCCCACCTAAGATGGCGGAGACCATGCGGCCACCAGTCAGCCACGAGACATTAAGACACCCCTCGTTCAACATAGATAAAATCTTCCAATATTTCTGGCTCAAGCTAGAGCTTAGACTACAACAAGGGGCTCCAGGTCCACTCATCTCAAACTGTCCACCCAGACAGCAGCCTCCTAACCCTCAGCACCAGCCTGCAGCCTTGACAGGGCCTCACACTGTACAGAGGCGGAGGAGGAACAAGCCTGCACCTCACCCACGTAGGGCAGTGAAGCAACAGAAACCAAGCACTGGCTCACCCCGTCCACTCACCACCCGGAGGGCGACCCTACTTAGGCCCAGCGGCATTACTAACCGACCCCAGCTACACCCGTTTACCCAGCTACACCCGTGCACTCACCACACCACAGTGGAGTCCCACGAGAATCCACAACGATGCTCTGCACAGCCCCAATGCGGCATCGGGTTAACCGCCAGGGACCCATCGACACCATGGTCCAGGAGCAGGGGGACCTGACACGTCTCACAATGCCACATCATGATCCTGGGAACACGATCCCCTTACGCCAACTTACCCGGAGAGGGACTCACACCTGGGAAACCCCAGGGGACTTTTGTACGACCAAATGGTTATAGCGATATATCTTTTGGACACTACAAGCTAAGGGGTATACTCACCTAGCATGTTCAGGATAGTATAGTCACACCATTCGAGAGACATGTTTTAACCTGTTAAATAAGCATACCATATACCCCTCTCGAAACTGCAACACCACATACCGTATCATAACTTTAAAGGACCACTATAGGCACCCAGACCACTTCAGCTTAATGAAGTGGTCTGGGTGCCAGGTCCAGATAGGATTAACCCTTTTTTTAAATATTTTATATGGATTCTGCGACTACTATTAAAATTGTAATCTCAGCATGCCAAATTGTACAAAGTTTTAGCTTTAAAGGGACACTATAGTCACCTGAACAACTTTAGCTTAATGAAGCAGTTTTGGTGTATAGAACATGCCCCTGCAGCCTTACTGCTCAATCCTCTGCCATTTAGGAGTTAAATCCCTTTGTTTATGAACCCTAGTTACACCTCCCTGCATGTGACTTGCACAGCCTTCCATAAGCACTACCACATGTCAGCAGACTGCTTGTTTTTCTGAGTCTAACAGCATGCAGATTTACAGCTTCAGGCTTGAATACAGTTAGATTTTTACTATATTTATGGAGGCATGAGGGGCCCAGGGGGGCTAGATGGTGGTGTTAACACTATAGGGTCAGGAATACATGTTTGTGTTCCTGACCCTATAGTGATCCTTTAAGTCATGCAGGTTATGTCCCTTTAATTTATTTTACAATATGTATGCAAAGATTTTATAACAGGATACAACAGACAAAAAAAGCAAAATAATGCAAACATCAAGACCTCCGAGTGACTATAATTACATTGTATTTTACAAGAATTAGGCCACCAAAGATTCCCTTTAAACTGTAATGTATATCAGTTCTCTATGTGGTTTGAGAGCCCCTTTAAGTCTAAGAATAAGATACATACCAATTCCTTTCAATAACTGACAGTTGGGAAGGTCTATGGGTTCAACCTCTCGTGAAAAGTTCAATCGATGGCTAAATAAAGAAATGGGGAGGGAAACATTAACAAGAAAAAAAAATCTGTTTTGTAGAACAAAATGCTGTTGTTTAACTATAATATTTAATACTACTGAATATTTATTTAAATTACAAAAGCTAAAATATTCTCAAGTAAATAACTGAAAATTAAATATTAAAAATGAAAATCTCAATTATTTATATATATATACACACACACACACATACGTATTCATTCTAACACTTTATAAATAATTTGATAGTGGCCACTTTATAAGAAACATTTATTTACTGGGTGTTGGGTTAATTGAAAATCAATATATAAGTAATCAATATATAAGTAATCAATATATAAGTAAATCAATGTTCATAGTCACCCTTGCTGTACAACCCCCTTAAAAAAATTTAATCTAAAACGTACTTCCTGAAGTAAACTTTACTCGCTGGTTGGAGTAAACTTGGAATTAATAATAAAATTAATAAAAAATAATAATAATAATTTAAAAATTGAGTGTAAAGTCAGAGTCCACACTCCTTGCTTTTGGCAATTCAATAATATTTATTAAGAGGCTAATCAAACAAATAAACAATAGATATACATTAGAAATAGGCTAGTATACGTTGCTATCGAAACTAGTCATTGATTGAATGGAAAGTAAACTAAATTAACATAGTAAAACAAGCATAGACATGTTTATCAGGATAGCCATTCCTTCTTTTGGGCACACCTCTCCCAGCCAATCCCGTAGGACAGTGGTTTCCAATCTTTTTGCACTTAAGTACCCCTTTGGCAGCCTAAATCCATAAATTGTACCCCTCCCATTAACAAAATGTTTGTAATTATTATAGTTGCATTTATTGCAAATTTATACGTTTTTCTCTGTCCCATGTCCCCCTTTTCTCTGTTTTTCCTCTGCCCCAGACTCTCCCTGCTTCTCCTCTGACCTAGGCTCCCCCTGCTACATAAACTGTCAGACATGCAGACACACATATAGATACAGATACACAAACACACACCTGCAGATACACAGATGCAAACAATGACATCCATATAGGTACAGATGTACATGCACACAGATGCAATGATATACAAACATACAGATAAAAAAACACTGACGTGTGTGTGAGGGGTGTTGTGTGTGCCTATATATTAGTGGGGTGGGTTATAGGAGTAATTGAGAGTTTTGTACCCTCTTCTTCTCTTTTCCTCGGGGAGGGGGAACATTGCCCTGGTGGTTCGGTGGGGGTGAGCAGCTCTACCCTCCCTGAGGCTCCTCTGGATGCTGGCAGAGTTTAGTCCTCCCGCGAGATCTTCAGAGCATTGCCGTGGTAACCTGCGGCAATGCTCCGAATTTCTGCCTTCCGGCTCCTCCCATCCTATCTCTTCTGCAGGCCGCATCGAAGTGCCTGTGGGCCAGTAAGGGAGACATTTTTTATCAGGGCTGGTTTTTGCCACTTTTGTGTATTGGTCCTCATTTTGTCTGTCTCTCTAGAATGATGGGATTTAATGTTTCTCTATGAGAGGTATTACACTGGTGATTGCGGCACATACACCCTATGGTTGGCAGTCCATGTTTGATAGAGGAGACTGCCTTGGCACTGGAATAAAGGCGACTTCACGTGCTTTTTTATAGAAAAGTGAGGCTCTAAAGCTACCTTAAAATAGAAACACTTGATTGTTACAAGTAAATATATTTTATGTTATGTTATTTTAATGTAGTGAGAATTACACTGCAGTAACTGTACTCAACCACATGTTTTTGTTATTATTGTTATGATAGCAATGAAGATAATATTCACAGTTTGCAATGTCTCCAACATAATTAAAGGACCACTATAGTGCCAGGAAAACATACTCGTTTTCCTGGCACTATAGTGCCCTGAGGGTGCCCCCACCCTCAGGGTCCCCCTCCCGCCGAGCTCTGGGGAGAGGAAGGGGTTAAACACTTACCTTTCTCCAGCGCCGGGCGGGGAGCTTTCCTCCTCCTCTCCTCCTCCATAGCGACGTCATCGTCATTCGTAATGCTTTCCTATGGACGCTGGCGTCTTCTCACTGTGATTTTCACAGTGAGAAGCACGCAAGCGCCTCTAGCGGCTGTCAATGAGACAGCCACTAGAGGCTTTAGAGGCTTTAGAGGCTGGATTAACCCTCAGTGTAAACATAGCAGTTTCTCTGAAACTGCTATGTTTATTAAAAAAAAAAAGGGTTAACCCTAGCTGGACCAGGAACCCAGATCACTTCATTAAGCTGAAGTGGTCTGGGTGCCTATAGTGGTCCTTTAACCTTGAACTTTCCTTTCTATGTAGCAGGTCACCTGTACTAGGATTATCACAACTACAAAGCCACATAGCAAAGTAACCACTTGAAGTATAGTAGTTCAGCAACATCAGGAGGGCTGGAGTTTGGGGAAGCCTGTTCTAGAACTTGTAGACCGCATTCTGTTAAAAACAATGAACTCTTAATAGTTTTACTGGATATTAAAATCTCAAAAAGGCACAGACAATACAACGTTCATATACATACATACACACTACAGTTCCTTGCTACACACACAATGTAACCACAATACAAACACACTCTGCAGGCGCTATACACACACTACAGCCCTTCAGCATACATACACTGACCACAACATTCACAGACTGACAGCATAATATTAATACCACCTACAGCCATTCATAGGCTATACCCAGCATACAACAGACTAACTTCAACATTTGTGTCTGTTGCATGGACAATACATAAATTATTAAAATGAAGATAGACATACACATTTAAACACAAAGAGACTCTACATTGATATAATGGCTGTAGCTTTTATTTAAAAAGGTTTGAGAGGCATTACTGTAAAAAATTGCCATGATCCCTTGATTGTGATTGATTGACATTTTCTGAGATTTTTCTTTATATAGTCTTGCTAACTGCAGTAAAAATACTCTACTGGACCATGTCTTTGTCTCAAGTACTGCGAGGGGGCTTTGAAGGGGGAGACGTCAGTTCCAATCCAGGGCGGGTGCACCGTGCCCAGATGCCATGGAGCTGAGGGAGAAGGGTGTACAACACCGGGAGTGGCCCCAGTGGCTCGCCCTGTTGGCCCTACCCTCAGTTTGTCAAGGGAAGAGAGAGCCAATCGCCTCCGGTCTGCAACTCTTCTGGGTGCGGAGCTGCAGACCATGTGTTAGAGAGCTCGACCAATCAGAGCGTTGCCATGGGTTACCACATCAACGCTCTGACACTTTAAGTGCTGGACATCACTGGATCTCTACAGATATGCTTTGTACACGTTGGACCTGCAGACCATATTGTTATCCCACCTGACCACCAGTGAGGGAGACCACTAGAACAGCAGGTAATCGATTACTAGTTACAAATAGGTATTTCAGTGTGGGGAGGCTGGTCACTAAACCAAAAAAGGGGTGTGTGCTTGTGCATGGAGAGGTGAGTCGTTGCCATAGAAACATGCATGTCTGGACAGGACATAAAAAATTCAGCACCCAGGCGTCTGTGACCCTAGAATCGGCCCTGGGTTATCTGCTTTTTTGTTCTTTGTCTGTTAGATAGCAGTTGTAGATGGTGAGGGAGTTGGACTTTTCCTGTGCCTGGGTGGAATGTATCTGCTAATCTCACACACAGACGTTTTAACATGGTTTCTCTCCTCACCCTACCAATTAAAAATGCAGCCTCCTTAATTGTACGTAACCATTCACCAATAAAAACATGCCCAAACTTGAATAAATACACCTTAAAATGACCTTGAAACCAAGCTTAAACTTTTACAATCCTCTTTGAGAGCCAGAATGCCATTACTGCGCCTTCGCCCCACAACACAAAAAATGAAGACGACCTTAGCCCCTGACTTAAATCCTACATTAGATAATTGGGAACTCTGGGATGCTTATCTCGCTAAGCTGAGGGAAGAGGCATAACCACCAAAAATGCTGCAGCTTCAGCATTATAGTGCTGCACAAAATTTAAAAAATGCTAGTCAATCATATTATTGGATTTTAAACCAGGTTAACACAGACTAATACCTGCCTCTACCTAAACTACCTGTCCTACATGACCTAAACTTGATCCCACTGCAATGCACTCACTATAATGCCAGGTAGAGGTGCCTGTGTAACTCTAAACTAGGAATATAGATGTCTGGCATTCAGTAGCTTGGCAGCATACTACCAGCTCTACTTTCTTTGTGAAGTAATCTGTTATACCCATTTAAATGGTTTGGCAATATACCGGGTACGCAACTGTGTGCACCATAACTACTTCAATAAGCTGTAGTAGCTATGATGCTAAGCATGTCCATATTATTTTGACTCTACCTGTAACCCAAGTGTTATTAACCTTAAAAAGACAACTTGATAGCAACACAGCTGAGTACCTGCCACATGTGAACATACAACCAATACAATTAATTAAGAATAATCATGTCAAATGATCTATACCAGAAAATAACTTACTCTATAAACATTTTCAAAACACACATTACCTGGCTATAGCTGCAATAAGGCTCATATGCTCTCATTAAAACGTGTATAGAACATCATGTATCTCACAATATCCTCTCTGATCAAACACTTTGTTTTTAAAAAAAAGTAACTTCTTCAAGAACACAGAGAGTTTACTGGAAGTAAAAGAGCTGGAACGTTACCTGAGTTGTACTATCCTCTCAGCGACGAAGGCCAGGCAGATCCCGATTAAAGTTAATTTGAGCAATGTCCCCATGTCTGCAGTGTTAGAAGGGCTTCCTGATGGCTGGGCTGATCTCTGTAACTCAGAGCTGGGAAGGCAGGCTGATGGGGCGGGTCTGGGATGTGCACACACATAGTGAGAATACAATGTATTCAGCCCTGCAGCCAAACTCTGCCCATGCCCTTTGTACAGAATATATTTTTTTTATGGCGAAGAGTCAATAAAAATAATCATGTAGTTTTACTACAGTTCCCACACCTAGTTTATGTTTGCACTTATCTGGAGATCCAAGGCAAATCAATAAACATATCAGGTAAACTGCTTCACAGAGTTCATCTCTAAACTCTGGATTTTAGCCTATTAAATTAAGGGATATTTGTCAAGACCAGCTATTTTAGCCTGAATTTTGCCATTCCGATTTTAATTGTCTTCTGTTTGCAGGGTTTACAAAAGTGAGAATTCAAAGTCAGCTTTTTTCCAGTTCTTATATTTAAACTTAAAGCAGCACTGTCACCGTCTGAGGAATTTGCAAAGACCCCCAACGGTGACATCGCCACTGCGATCCATTGCTGGGGAGTAGGCATAGATGACTTCTACTTATCTGCACCTATCCTTTGCTGGCGCCAACCTTGTCTTCCGATGGACCATCTTTAGCGGCAGGAGCCGACGTCACTGGTGACTGAGGTTGAGGTCTATGGAGGGTCCTGCGAGACCGGGGGATCCTCCATAGATAAAGCCAATTCCCTGCAGCTATCACTGGTGACGGCTGGATTGATTGACACTTGTAGATGGCAGTAGCTCCGCCCAGTGTCTAGAAGTGTCAGGTGTATGTAGTGTTTAGTGGATGTACAATGTGTGTCATGGATGCAGTGTGTATAGTGGATGTAGAATGTGTGTAATGGATGTGGTATGTGTGTCATGGATGCCGTGTGTATAGTGGGTGCAGATTGTATGTTTTGTGTAATGTATGTCATTTTTGTATGCATGCATTCGATTTAGGGTGTGTGTGTGTGTGTGGTGAATGTAGGTGTGTATAGTGAATGCAGAGTGTGTGTTTTTGTAGTGGATGTAGTGTGTGTACAGTGAATGCAGAGTGTGTTTTTATAGTGGATGTAGTGTGTATAGTGCATGTAGTGTTTTGTAGTGAATGTAGTGTATTTGTAGTGAGTTCGAAGTGTGTATAGTGCATGTAGTGTGATTGTAGCAAATGCAAAATGTGTATAGTGAATGTAGTGTGATTGTGGTGAATGCAGAGTGTGTGTATAGTGAATGCAGTGTTTGTAGTGAGTGCAAAGTCTGTTTAGTAAATGTAGTGTGTTTGTAGTGAGTGTAATGTGTGTATAGTGAATGTAGTGTGTGTGTGTGTGTGTAGTGCAGATTGTGTTAAGTGAATGTAATGTGTGTGTGTAGTGCAGATTGTGTTTAGTGAATGTAGTGTGTGTGTAGTGCAGTGTGTGCTTGTAAGGATGCAGTGTGTGTGTAAAATAGGGGTGAGGGGAGTATTTAAAAAAAAAAAAAAAATTGTGTATATTTACATTTTATTCCCCCCTCCTTGCTTCTTGCCGTGCCAGGGAGGGGGGAGATCGCATTGTGGATGGAGCCAGCTGTGGTACATTGCAGAGAAGGGGCCCCGCAGCACACCACTGTCTTCCCTTTCCAGCTCCTCTCTGATGAACTCTCGCAAGACCAGCCTGTGTGCTGTGCGGAGCGTTGCCATGGTAACCCGTGTCAACGCTCTGGCGGCCACAGGGCGCAGGAAAGTTAGACAGAGAGCAGCTTGAAAGGAATACAGAGTGTGCTGCTGGGCCCCCCTCTGCAATTTACAGGTAGCAGGGGCCCTCAGTGCACATATATATAGCGAAAATCGCTATATATATATCGCTATATATACGTGCACATAAGGAATGTGGGGCTCGGACTGCCAGAGTAGTCTGGGCCCCCCAGGACTGCCGGGCCCATGACAACCGTTATGGTTGTCATGCCCTGATGGCGGCCCTGGGTGAGACCACCGAGGGAGGGGGAGGAGAGACCTCTATGGAATGGGGTGAGGAGAGAGGGAAGGGGGGCGGGGGGGTGAGGAGAGACTACCAAGGGAGGGAGGGGAGGGGGGTGAGGAGAGACCACTATGAGAGAGCACTAGAAGACAGGAGGGGAGAGCTCTAAGGGACGGGAGGGGAGAGCACTACGGAGAAGGGGGTGGGGAGATCACTAAGGGACAGTGGGGCAGGGAAGAGCACTAAGGGACAGGAAGGGAGAGCAGTAAGATACAAGAGGGGATAGAGGCTGAGGAAAGGGGAAAAGAGAAGCACAAAGGAGCTGGTAGGACCCACCCCCTATCCTACCCCACAAACTCTTTCTTTCACACTATACACACAATGCTTCCCTATACATACACAGAAACACACAATGCATCCCTACACACACAGAAACACACCATGCTTCCCTTACACACAGATAAACATACAATGCATCAATTACACACACACACACACACAATGCAACCTTTACACATAAAGACAATCCATCCCTTGCACACATACACAGAAACACACAATGCATCCCTTACACACATAAGCACTTGCCCCCTCCCCTGGATTTTCCAGCTTGTGCTGCTAATTACCAGATTTTACTAATTACATGACGTAAAGTCATGATTTTATAAAGGACACGGAGGCGAATATTATGCTTATCTCTTTCTTTATTATACCTCAGCAGCAAAGAGAAGGTATAAACATTCATAGAAAAAAGTTTTAACAGGTTCTCCAAGGGTTAACCTAACATCATACTCTTAACCAATAGGAACAGTCCTTCTATCTATAACTACCCATGTGACCTTTCCTCTCCCTCTTTCTTTGGTCATGCCGAAGCTGTATCTTTATAACTTGAGAAAACACTGGAACGCTTTATCCGTTGTGTCGAACTTTCCCATATCCCGAACTTGTAGGAACTTGTCTGCGTGAACTGCGGTGACAACTGGTCATCCAGGGTGTCGCTGATTGTGAATTAAGCTGTAATGGGACAGAGAAAAAAGTGGTAAAATATGGTCTGAGGAACTGTTTGCCACCATGGTAGTGACTAAATCTTAGCATATGCAATAGGTACTACAGACTCACTAGTATTGAAAAGAAATTTATCGTCCTAACTAATCGACTTAATTTGATACAAAGAAGACACCACAACGACCCTTATTCCATTGTTTATTTGGGTGGGAGTTTAACTCTTCTTCACCGATATAGGCCTGATATACTTACCGGGTGGGCCAATATTCGCCTCCGTGTCCTTTATAAAATCATGACTTTACGTCATGTAATTAGTAAAATCTGGTAATTTTATTAAAGGACACGGAGGCTCAATTATGCTAGTTTAAAGCTGTGCAATGACTGTTGATGATACGTGGTCTGTAGGGTGAAAATAATATTCCTTAAAGGTGGATTCGCGCAACCAATCTGCCGTCCGTAACAAATCTTCCAGCCTGCATCCCAAGTTGAATAGTTTAGATACCATTGCCCCTCTAGTGGAGTGCGCTCCGTATACTGAGGTATCTATGTTTGCAGAGGTCATTATCCACTTCACCCATCGGGCTATCGTTATGGAAGATACTGGCTGGTGTGGTGAATTGACGGCCAGAAATAGTTCATGCTGTCCAGAGCTTCGAAATGCCTGTGTCCGTATTTCATACTCCTTGAGGCAGGCTTCTGGGCACAGGTTTTTGTTGTGCGGGAATGCCGGATATGACACTGATGCTGTTGCTGATTTAGTATGTCTGGAAATGTTGAAAGTTACTCCCGTTGGAGTGAACGTACGTGCGTCGACGTCCAATGCCCGGACATCCGAGACTCTTTTACAGGATATTAGGCATAAGAGCATGGCCAGTTTTGCTGATAGTTGTTTCAGTGTGAGGTCAGAATTCTGTGGCCATTGTTCCAAAAGATTTAATACCAGATTCACGTCCCATATTGTACTATACCGGGGTCGTGGTGGTCTTGCCAATCGAATTCCGCGTAGGAGCCTGCATACCAACAGATGTTTACCCGCTGGGAGTCCTTCAATACCCGTGTGTCCAGCGGATATCGCTGACCTGTATACATTGATGGTTCGGTACTCAAATCCTTGGTCGTATAGATGTGTAATAAAACGTAACAGGTGGTTTACAGGAGCACATACGGGATCCACGTGTTGTTCCATGCACCAACCACTCCAGATGTTCCAAGCGTTAGAGTAGGATCGTCGCGTTCCAGGGGCCCAGGCTCCCGCCAGAAGGTCGAGAGTTGTTTGCGGAACGTTTGGCACGACCCAGGGTCCCCGGAAAGGAGCCACGCTAACAACCTGAGTTGTCCCTGCACCATCAGAGGGTGTGGGTTCCCATCTGGGTCTGAAAGGAGACGTGGGTGCTCGAGTAGCATTCTGGGGAGATCTATGGACATCTCCATGAGTAAAGGGAACCAAGGCTGTGCAGTCCAGAATGGAGTTACGAGGACCAGGGATGTCCGTGCTCGGTCGAGGTGCACTAGTGTTCGTGTCAGCAGGGCGAACGGAGGGAACGCGTATAGTCGTTTGTTCGGCCATGGTTGAAGAAATGCGTCTGTCGCTAACGCGTCTGGGTCCGGTCTCCAGCTGAAGAATTCCGGGAGTTGTGTATTCAACCGTGACGCAAACAGGTCTATATACATCGGACCCCATAGCGTCTGCAATCGTAGGAACGTCTCTCGGTTCAGGCGCCAATCGCTGGTATCCCGTAGGTGTCTGGAGTTCCAATCTGCTACGGTATTCGAAAGTCCCGGGATGTACTCGGCCCGTACTGTTATGCTGCGTTCTAAGCAAAACTGCCAAAATTCTGTGGCCAAGTCTGCAAAAATTTTGGACTTGGTGCCGCCGAGGCGGTTGATGTACTGTACGGCTGATACGTTGTCCATCCTCAGGATGATGGAGCAATGCGTCACGGGGCCTAGGAGGCTCTTCAGTGCGAATGATCCCGCCATTAATTCCAGGCAGTTGATATGTAGTGTCTTCTCCGATTGGGACCATTTTCCGCCTGTGGAGGTATGTCCACAGCGCGCTCCCCAGCCCCGTGTGCTGGCATCTGATTCTATTACGCAATCTGGGATGTTGCCGAAGATTGCTCTGCCGTTCCACGCTTCCATGTGGTGTAGCCACCACCTGAGCTCCTCCTTGGCCGTGT